ATGCTTTTTTTCAAACATGCTGTTATATTCAGGACAATTCTTATACTTTGTCATATTTCATCGAAGAAAGAATTTAAAAGTTTAATCAATTATAGGGAAAAAAAGGACAAAAATACGATAACATATAATTTCTACTGATACCAAACACTAAATGCCTGGATTCTCCTTGTCTGTGGCAAAGTAGCATTCCTGGACCATTTTTGAATTCAGTTTCAGAAGAAAAAAAAACTTAACTCGTACTCAATCCCCTCTCCTTCTCCAATACAAATGCATGTAACTCGTAATAACCCGTAAAGGTTCACCCTCCCCACAAAAGAAAATGGAAAAAAAATATTATATAGTTCTTAGAGGACTATACATAATAGAGAAGCGGAAATACCAAAGGGATATTCTAACTCATGTGTCGAAAAAAGGCAAAAACAAAAGCGTCAAGAAGACAAGTAACATTTTACAAAAACAACATGGAAAACTAAAGACTGAGCAACACGAACCCCACCAAAAACCGGGGATGCTATTGGTTGCTTCGGGAGGGTAAGCAGAACCTGCTCCACACGTGGCACCCGTCGTGCTGCTCATGTAAGTACAAACCCGGTGATAAGTTTAATTCGGTAGTTTCAAATTGGCCTGTGGATGATAAAACCTAAGACTATAGGATGTTAAGTGTATGAGTAAATGGGCCGGTTGCTGGAACAAATATATCAAATTTATTCCTTTTAGAACCTTTATAGTTCCATAAGACATTGTCATTCCCATATAATTATGCAATTGTCACTTTGATTGTCAGAGTCTCGTGCCATAACCATTAAAGGTAAATGAGTTTGTGTAAATAAATATTGCCTTTTTACATACGGAAATGTTGGTCCTGAATGCTCTTCAGTTTCGTACATATTTTGGCATTTTAATATTTGAGCATCACAGATGAGTCATTTGTTCACAAAACACGCATCTTGCGTACCAAATTACAGGCCGTGTAGCTTTGGTGAGCTTTTTGTACATGTTTGGGGAAATAGCTTCCTATAGAGTTTGAGAAAACATGTATTTTTATGACAAATGAATGGTGCGAAATGAGATTGGCCAAAATACTTTTTGGAGGCCGCTGTGCATGTGTATACAAGATAATGTTGTACAATGTTTACATCTGCATCATTTGGTCTCAGGTAAATAGTTGTCTCATTGGCAATCATGCCATATCTTATTTTTATACTATAAGCCCGACATAGACAATGGTATGGCATTTTCCATCCGCCAACACCTTCTACCATAAATACTTCTATGATAAAATTTCATAACACTTTTATGGAATATTTGAATTGGTGGAAGGAAGCTCCCTATCAAATATTTTGGTTGAAAGACATTTTACCATCATATTTACGGTAAGAACATAAATTGTTCACATATATCGTGCATCAACAGGAGTTGTCCTTTGGTTGTTGTTTGATGGTTGTCACATTAACAATTATACCACATCATCTTTTCAAAATATATGGAAGCAAAATAGCCTATAATTTTCTGATAAACCTTAATTCTAGCACAAAATGTAAATGGACAGCAATGTACTATAAACAGCCTTTTGATGCTCTATTAAAAGTTTCACAGCTTTTTAAGACTGATGTGGATTTACAGCTCGACATATTGTATATACATGTCTGTGTTAAGAACCATATGTCATTGTGGACCTCTAGATGTTATTCATTTCATTTTTGTTGTTGCTTGACTGCTGTCTCATTAATGTAAACACAATATCTCATTTTGCATAAGTACCGGAAGAATACCACTAATATATAACAATAAGTTTCTGAGAAATGAATCTTATTGCAAATTGTTTTCAAAGTCACTCTTGTGTAGAACAGTAAAACCTAAATGTTTTTGAACAGTTATGTACTATTTAAAAGAACTTAGGTGGTAAAGTTATAATCAATATATCACTATAACTATGGAGTAATCACTTTATAAGACATGAACCGTTTCATAAAACTAAGGTATCGGCAGACTAAGGTAAATATATATACTGCAGTCAAATTTTTCTGTGTCTTGGGCATACAAATATTTGAATCTGAAATATCTTCAGTATGTGTCTTACAGTTCTTTTCACTTGAATTTTATAAAATAAACAAGAAATGTTTATAGCACAATTTTTATTATTAATCAATATATGCTATAATTTGATTGTATCATGCAAATAGAAAGGACATATACATTTCAATAACTTTTTATTTTATTCATATATAAAATCCATGTTATTATTTACCAATACTTTAAATTCTCAGTTCAATACATTATTTTATAAAACATTCATCATTTATGCTCAGAGAAAATATTTTAGACTCCAAAAATTATGAAAACTTTAGCACAAATTAGTGAAATGAGCCAAAGTCATAAGTGGTAATCATTAAAATTGTTTCAATATTATATAGCATGCATCATGTTTGCTCAGAGAGCTAATATTTGAGGAATCAAAAATTATGAAAACATCTGCACAAATAAGTCAATTGAGCCAAAGTCATTAACCGATCTGTCATCATTAAAATTGTTTTAATTTTGATTGACTTTTTCATTTTTTGAGGGGAGGCTAAACTCTATTCATCATTTCATAAAAAAAATAAAGTTTCTACATTTAAACAAAATCTGTTTATAGAATTATTGATGTACAGAAAACAGACAGAATAAGACTAGGAGACATAGAACAGTAAATATTTGTTAATTACTAGACGATATCTATGGCTGAGAAATTTATATAACATACATGTACAATGATGAAAGTAAAATATAAGGGCTATTCCATTAAAATGTATGTGGGAGGGTAGGAAGGGAAGTTTGATTATTGAATGTGGGTCATGGGTCTTTTTTCAGTATGCGTCTATTACCATGATGCAAAATTATCTAAAAAATGGTTCTTGGTTATAGGGATATTTTGAAAGTCCCTTCCTACCCTCCCACATACATTTTAATGGAATAGTCCTAACCAATAACTAAAGACATCATTGTGTTCCCTCATCTCCAGAGATCATCAGACATGACATTTTTTATACCTTAAACCTTATCATTTTTAATATCAATGCATTCTTCTTCAAATCCCAACATGTCATGTGAGCTTTGTCATTTTTTGTGGAAACAAAATGATGTCAGCATTAATGTAGATCACATAATGAAACAATGTAAAGTTAAATATTTGCTATATCAGAGATTTCTTCATCCTTAAAAAAAAGAATGATCTAATGGCCTCATATAAAATTTACTCTGTCAGAGACCCCATGTATCACTTACTGAAATTGTTATATAAACTTTGTCATGTTCCTGGTCGTGACATTTGCAACTGGCCATAAATTTGGAATATTAGATTCTTTTCATATAACTGACTTTTGACTCTGGATTATATAATTTTTCAACAGGTCAACTACACTGTGGTAGGACATTCTGGTACTCAGTCAAGTAAGAGCAAATAAAAGAAGTAAAATAAAGCTTACAATCAGTGCAATTTTGGAAAACAATTATTTTTTTCCAATATATTTTTTGTACATAGAAAACTATAAAGCAGTTAATTTATTTCCCCAAATTTCACACTGATTGTAAGCTTGATTTTTTTTTCTTACAGTTGTTTTTACCTGACCGGGTACCAAAATATCCTATTCAGAGTGGGTTACTTGTCGAAATATTATATACTGTGGAATCAAAAGTCGGTAATAGGAAAATAGTTTATTTAATGAAAGATAATGAATGCACAGGGGTAGATGCTGACATAACCCAGATACTAAGTCCTACTTCATTACTCCCATGTTTGTCTGTTTTAGCATAAACCTTTAATATTTGAGATGGTATGAGTATGCTACCATTTATTTACTTTTGACAAAAACTGATTTCAAAAGTAAGGGAAGCACTACGTAATCCTTTGACCTTCAAACAAATAATAATACAATGTTCCGAAGCCTTTGAAGTATAACAACAACATTTGTATAAATAAAAATATATAAAAAGAAATATTTCAAATAAAATCATATTAATAAAACATGCATTCACAAACAAAAAAAAAACATCATCTTAATCCTGTATACAATGTACATAAGTTATTTCATTTTATTCAAAGAAAAATCTGTAGCAGCTACAAAGGTATTGGGGTAATACATAAATAGGATAACAGTAAAACACAAATTATTGTTTGTTACAAAAGTCTAGTGTTCTATATACATTACAGATCAATCAAAATGTATATAATGAATAGCACTTACATATGTTCATACTGTCAGTTAAATTAATACCTACACGTAACGACTTGGCAAAATTATCTAGTGAAGTGATTTGTCTTAGAAAATTTCCAGGTAATAGTTATTAAGACCGTTCACTCAAAAGGTGTTGAAGAAAGGGTCAAGGAGGAATTCTTTCTTTAAAGACCCACAATTTAAAAAAAAAAATGGTACATGTTTTATATTCTAAAGAATTTTCTGAAAGTTTCCAGAGAAGTTAATTTCCAGCATTTGGACTTTTTGATATCAGTTGGATGTCCTCTATATATACATCTAGTAACTAAAATATATATCAAATAAACATTGCAATGTCAATGTATTTCTCCGATCAAAATAAATCTTTCTTATGCAAATAATTAAATAATTAAAGTTGCACTCTGGGATATGGCAATGAAGGTTCTCTGAGAAGTTCATTTTTATTCTCTAATTGTGGAGATTTGAGTTAAAAAACAAATGAAGTTCTTGATATGAAATTTACAGTGGATAAATGAGTGGATAAAAGGATCATTGTTTTAACAAGGCAAATAAGTTTAATAATTGAATTTTAAAAATTTTGAAACTTTAAAAAATCTAAAATTCTTATTTGAATTATTTTCAAATTATGAGATATAATAGAAAGATTGCACTTAAATATATAAAAAAAGAAAGGCATTTAATATTATAAGATAATAAAATTAATTGAACTTGGCTCATGAAAAGAACAAAAAGGCAAATGAAAATATATAAAATGCAAAAAATCAAAACATAACAGGAAAGACCCCTCCCTCCCCCCTAAATCATAAAAGCAATAGATCTATTATTGAAAGTGTTGAGAAATTTTCTTCGAACCTCTTGAAAAAGAAGAGAGGGTTGAGAATTAACATTTAAGAATGGTTTCTAACAGTTTCATCACATTCACAACACCATCATTAAATGTTTAGTTCACATAATTGTGGCCACTTATATATACTGTAAATTAAGAATGTTTGTGTGCCTGTAGTATTGCTTATGTTCAACAATGGACACTAATGTCAGATTTATTATTGCGATTTCAGAAAATACTGCATACATATAATGTTATTGAAATTTAAAATGAGAATTTTATTTTTGGTAATCATATCCTATAGCAACTATCATAATAATAAATACACTTAGCTGACTTAGCTTGATATTAACATTCATTATTTTACTTTTTCATTTTGTAAAGAAGGAAAATATGGGACAAAACTCTACGCTAAATTCGGCAGTGATAATTTTACATTTTGCTTAAATGGGCTAAAAATTTGGCACTAAAATGAGTTACACTTTGGTGCTAAAATGTCTCATTATTTTTGGCTTAAATATATTATCAATTTGCTAAATTGACGCCTGTCTTTCAAGGCATATCTAAAAATACTTACTAGTTTAGCCCATTAGAAAGATTTCCATATCAGGTAAATGAAAAATTGCTACCCAGAGAACATTTCTGCAAATTTCTCAAATATATATATGCAAATTAACAAATTGTTACTCAATACAATTTTAAAAATTTGATGTAACCTTATTGAAATTCAGCTGATAAATGACAACTTTGCCTTAATGTTGCAAAAAGTAGGTACCAATAATAGATAACTGCAGATAATAGAAGCCCCCTGATCAGTAAAGCAAAAGTTGTCCAATATCTAATTCCCCTTAAATTGAATAAATCCTATAAAAACAAATCATTGAGCAAGTTTGAGTGGTCTGATTTTGACATGGATTTGTATATAAAAATATTAGTCTAATAAAAAAGTAATATGTATATATAAATATTAATCAGCAGCACTCATTTTAAATCTTCTTTTAAATAGCAGAAACTATTCTAAAATAATTTGTATGTCAACATCTTCCTTAACCCAACATGCATGTTTTCCTAGCATACAGAAAACATATCTAGAGTATACTAATCAACATAAAAGTGACAAAATAGGTTTACAGGAAATAAAGGTATAAATCAACTTAAACAATATCACAGTCTGAACTGCCTTGGTAGAGTATGTGCTTTATACAGTATCAAAGCGAAGCAGCCAAGACTTTTAAAATATGTAAATTCTCAGATCATTAGGGTATAAAAGATAAGAAGATGTGGTATGATTGCCAATGAGACAACTCTCCACCAGAGACCAAATGACACAAATAACAACCAAAAGATATGTATGGCACCAATGAACTATATAAGGGATAATCAATGGAAGATTGCATAAATCAGACACTGATTCACAGAATTATAAAAAAATATTCAAAACATGTCCATTACGTGATGAATATTACTTTCTGGATTATGGAAGTTTTTGTATATATCATTGTACTTTTAAAGCATCAATCTCTTGTAAAATCTGTATGTTCATTTTACTACCTGAAAATACAGAAAATATATTTAAACCTTAAGCATGTCAAGTGAGGAAGGTCATCAAGAGTCTACCTACCAACAGTGAATACATCCAGTATTTTAAAGACGAAATTATATATACATGTAGTCCCTATATGAAAACTAAGAAACTGATCATTACAAAATTTTACTGTTTTAACCACAAGCAATCCTTTTGAAGAAATTAATTATAGCATGTAAAACAAAAATAACATTTTTAAATGACAAGGCATTTATCAAAATAACAAGGTAAAACATTTTTCAGTTTTGTCTGAACATAGTCAGGCTGATAAACAGATAAAAAAAGTATGGGGCTGACAATCTTGTCTCTGGATAATAACCAGGTCGATAGGTTATGTATTAACCTGTACTTCTCTTGTAGCTATGCTTTTGACATTTGTTTTACAAATATTTTGATTGTTTTCTTATATATCTGAACTGATTTTTATTGTGCATTTTTCTCTATATTTTGTTATTCCAATAATCAAGATAAAAAGGGGGAAGGTTAAATACAATGAAATAGTAAATCAGTGCAGGAAACTCATCTTATTTTATTGGTCTTTGAGGTTTCTTAACTTACTTAAGACTCTTGGAGATTTTGAGCAGACCTACAATATTGTCAAACTAGTTTATTGCTGACAATAGACTATTTTCATATTACCGACTTTTGACTCTGGAGTTTATATTTTTTCGACAGGTTACCTTCTCTCTGGTAAGACATCCTGGTACTCAGTCAACCAAGAGCAACGTAAAAAAGCAAAATCAAGCTTTCAATCGGTACAATTTTTTTGAGGAAATAAACTGTTTTATGTTTACAATATAGGACAAAATAATCAGAAACAGTAAAATTTCCCCCCAGAGTGCACAGATTATATGTTTGATTTTACTTCTTTTGGTTGCTCTTACTTGACCTAGTACCAGGATGTCCAACCACAGATTAGGAAACCTGTCGAAAAATTATACAATCCGGAGTCAAAAGTCGGTAATATGAAAAAAGTCTATTGTATGTTGACCTCTAGATGTTACTTTTGGTTGTCATTTTTGTTTTTTTTTGTCTTTATTACAGTAATGTATACACATATCTCTGTTTATATATAAAAATATCCCTCCCTCCACTTCTATCCTGCTCAGGCAAAACAAATCTTCGCCAACTTAAAACACATAACTATGAACTAACCTGAAATACTTCACTAATACCTAGCAATGTATCCTTTTTTTCACTGATGTATAACAGTCTGTATTTTCCAGAATCTAATGATAAGTTATGGAATGTAACAAATGAACAGCCATCTTTGTTCATTTTAGCTCCCTGTATAATATACACATAGGCAATCTGGTCTCGTATACATCTGAAATTTTCCTGTATAAATGTATAAATAATTAAATATACTAAAAGTTATTTCCTTGTTGTAAATTTCCTGTCATTTGATAAAATATAATGTCATTATAACAGTTTTAGACATTTAGAGAACAATAACAAATACATGTCCCTATCATGACTATCATATTTATAGAGAAATAAATTGAAGAACACCAAATTACGAGATGTGTGCAAGGTTATATACTTTCCTTAAAATTCTCATTTTAGAGATAGGTCTCCAAAATAAAAAGATTATTGAAAGATTTGATACTCTTCTGGAAATTTTCAATATTATGAGAAATAAAAATAAAGAACTCCAAATAAAGAGATGGGTAAAAAACATACTTTATTGGAATTTTTTACTAGTAAAAAATCATATACATTTGTATTTCTAAAAGAAAATATTTATTGAATGATAAGTCTTACATTGTAAAATTATGGACAATTTTGAGAAGTTATCTGTAATCTGGTCAAGTAACAACTGAATACTTTATGTGTGGAGAGAATACTTTTAACTAATTTGAGTATTCTTTTATCCATTGTTTAGTCTGAGCATGTATCTTGTAAAATTGGCACGTACGATACCTTAGTCTGAGTTCCTTACAATGGATACAGGATCCCTCCAATTAGCCATTACTAAAGGCTGCTGCCGGAATCAACATTCTAGAGATGCCCAAATGTCATCTTACCTCTCATTCTCTTAATATTTATATACCTACTTTATACAATCCTATCCAATCCCATTTGTCAGGATGGTATTCTAAGTTAGGACTAATCTCAAATTTATAATGAACATCTTCCTCTTGATTACTGGTCCATTTTGTAGATGAAGTTATATGTAGGAATCTGACTGGTAATGGGATGGGTGGAGATGGGTATACCTGAAATAAAATTGTAGATGAAGTTATATGTAGGGATCTGACTGGTAATGGAATGAGAGGAGATGGGTATACCTGAAATAACATTGTAGATGAAGTTATATGTAGGAATCTGACTGGTAATGGAATGAGAGGAGATGGGTATACCTGAAATAACATTGTAGATGAAGTTACTGTATAGCGGGTTATTTTCGCGGGTGTAAAATTTCGCGATTTAGGGGCAACAAAGTATACAAAAAATTTTGGCGGTTTTTATTTGGTTGATTCTTAAATCCCAATTAAATATTTTGGTGAATACTGAAATTGTTGCAGTTAAAAAGTTGTAAAACTTGACAAAGTGTCTATTGTTATGGTTAATTGATTTTTTTTTACCGCAATGACCTCTTATTCATTGATTAAATTCTGATACAGTTAATCATTAAAATACCGCTAACTTAACTATTTGTTACATGTATTCAAACGGCTTGTAAATTTTACGATTGATTAGTTACGAAATTTACCAGACCTTTGATGTACTTACTAATTAGGTTACAAAATTATCATGAGTGTTTACAACTCTTATATAGTTTGACACTAATTAATAAGGGCTATTACCTGATAAGAGTACCTTGCACTCTTATTCTAATTGACACTTATTAATAAGGGTATAGTCATTTTATAAAATACATTTATGTACAATGCCCTTTGGCATTTATCTTGTTAATAATTCGTTATTGACCTGCCGACAGGAAAAAAATAGATCGTTTACAAAATCCTTTAGCCATGTTAACTTCGAAACTACCCAACGTATGCATAAATTTTAGCGGAATTTATTTTCACAATTTTCGTTTATCCGCCAAAATAAGCGAAAATAAACACCCCGCGAAAATAACCCACTATACGGTATACATATAGATGAAGTTATATGTAGGAATCTGACTGGTAATGGGATGAGAGGAGATGGGTATACCTGAAATAACATTGTAGATGAAGTTATATGTAGGAATCTGACTGGTAATGAGATGGGTGGAGATGGGTATACCTGAAATAACATTGTAGATGAAGTTATATGTAGGGATCTGACTGGTAATGGAATGGGAGGATATGGGTATACCTGAAATAACATTGTAGATGAAGTTATATGTAGGAATCTGACTGGTAATGGAAAGAGAGGAGATGGGTATACCTGAAATAACATTGTAGAAGAAGTTATATGTAGGAATCTGACTGGTAATGGATTGAGAGGAGATGGGTATACCTGAAATAACATATAGATGAAGTTATATGTAGGAATCTGACTGGTAATGGGATGAGAGGAGATGGGTATACCTGAAATATCATTGTAGATGAAGTTATATGTAGGAATCTGACTGGTAATGGGATTGGTGGAGATTGGTATACCTGAAATAACATTGTAGATGAAGTTATATGTAGGAATCTGACTGGTAATGGAAAGGGAGGAGATGGGTATACCTGAAATCACATTGTAGATGAAGTTATATGTAGGAATCTGACTGGTAATGGAATGGGAGGATATGGGTATACCTGAAATAACATTGTAGATGAAGTTATATGTAGGAATCTGACTGGTAATGTGATGAGAGGAGATGGGTATACCTGAAATAACATTGTAGATGAAGTTATATGTAGGAATCTGACTGGTAATGGGATGGGTGGAGATGGGTATACCTGAAATAACATTGTAGATGAAGTTATATGTAGGAATCTGACTGGTAATGGGATGAGAGGAGATGGGTATACCTGAAATAACATTGTAGATGAAGTTATATGTAGGAATCTGACTGGTAATGGGATGGGTGGAGATGGGTATACCTGAAATAACATTGTAGATGAAGTTATATGTAGGAATCTGACTGGTAATGGAATGAGAGGATATGGGTATACCTGAAATAACATTGTCGATGAAGTTATATGTAGGGATCTGACTGGTAATGGAATGAGAGGAGATGGGTATACCTGAAATAACATTGTAGATGAAGTTATATGTAGGAATCTGACTGTAATGGGATGAGAGGAGATGGGTATACCTGAAATAACATTGTAGATGAAGTTATATGTAGGAATCTGACTGGTAATGGGATGAGAGGAGATGGGTATACCTGAAATAACATTGTAGATGAAGTTATATGTAGGAATCTGACTGGTAATGGAATGGGCGGAGATGGGTATACCTGAAATAACATTGTAGATGAAGTTATATGTAGAAATCTGACTGGTAATGGAATGGGCGGAGATGGGTATACCTGAAATAACATTGTAGATGAAGTTATATGTAGGAATCTGACTGGTAATGGAATGAGAGGATATGGGTATACCTGAAATAACATTGTAGATGAAGTTATTTGTAGGAATCTGACTGGTAATGGGATGAGAGGAGATGGGTATACCTGAAATAACATTGTAGATGAAGTTATATGTAGGAATCTGACTGGTAATGGGATGAGAGGAGATGGGTATACCTGGAATAACATTGTAGATGAAGTTATATGTAGGAATCTGACTGGTAATGGGATGGGTGGAGATGGGTATACCTGAAATAACATTGTAGATGAAGTTATATGTAGGAATCTGACTGGTAATGGGATGAGAGGAGATGGGTATACCTGAAATAACATTGTAGATGAAGTTATATGTAGGAATCTGACTGGTAATGGAATGAGAGGAGATGGGTATACCTGAAATAACATTGTAGATGAAGTTATATGTAGGAATCTGACTGGTAATGGGATGAGAGGAGATGGGTATACCTGAAATAACATTGTAGATGAAGTTATATGTAGGAATCTGACTGGTAATGGGATGAGAGGAGATGGGTATACCTGAAATAACATTGTAGATGAAGTTATATGTAGGAATCTGACTGATAATGGAAAGGGAGGAGATGGGTATACCTGAAATAACATTGTAGATGAAGTTATATGTAGGAATCTGACTGGTAATGGAATGAGAGGAGATGGGTATACCTGAAATAACATATAGATGAAGTTATATGTAGGAATCTGACTGGTAATGGAATGGGAGGATATGGGTATACCTGAAACAACATTGTAGATGAAGTTATATGTAGGAATCTGACTGGTAATGGAATGAGATGAGATGGGTATACCTGAAATAACATTGTAGATGAAGTTATATGTAGGAATCTGACTGGTAATGGAATGGGAGGAGATGGGTATACCTGAAATAACATTGTAGATGAAGTTATATGTAGGAATCTGACTGGTAATGGGATGAGAGGAGATGGGTATACCTGAAATAACATTGTAGATGAAGTTATATGTAGGAATCTGACTGGTAATGGAATGAGAGGAGATGGGTATACCTGAAATAACATTGTAGATGAAGTTATATGTAGGAATCTGACTGGTAATGGAATGAGAGGAGATGGGTATACCTGAAATAACATTGTAGATGAAGTTATATGTAGGAATCTGACTGGTAATGGAATGGGAGGAGATATGTATACCTGAAATAACATTATAGATGAAGTTATATGTAGGAATCTGACTGGTAATGGAATGAGAGGAGATGGGTATACCTGAAATAACATTGTAGATGAAGTTATATGTAGGAATCTGACTGGTAATGAAATGGGAGGATATGGGTATACCTGAAATAACAAACATTTTACTGTGATTATACATCTATTGATCTTTGTAACCTTTCACAGCATTTCCTATGTTACTGGAAGTTACCTCTGACCAATGAAAGCCAGAAAAATGGTATGGAATCAGCCGAAAAATTTAGTCCAGAAACATCAATATAAACAAATAAACTGTAAACCAACAGTATACATATCACACATTGTTTCATTTTTCAAACTTTTAACAACACATTTTTGTTTCATTTCTACATTTTACATACATTTATAGATAAAATTTACTATCTATGGAAACCATTATGAATTGTGACGTCATATAATATAGTTGAGGTATCTGAAATTAGTACTTCAGGGAAAAAAATTCTTGTATTTATCCTGATGACGGCTTTTAGATCACCGAAACATGTTGATTAAATAAATAATGCCTATGAACTGCTGTGTTGTTATCTGTTATTTGAATCTAGTAATCTTGTTCATCTACTTTTAGCGGGTTTGTGAGTGAACAGAGAATTATTAAAAGAATAATGGAGAACAGGCAATGATTTATTAACACCTTTTAATTTGTGATATTTGTTGATTTCCTAAATTTATATTATCTGTACTTTAATTACTATATGCTATAATAAAGTTGCTTTAGTATTAGATCTACAATTATGTTAATGTTATCATCAAACATCACAGCTTTAAATAATTAAGCTACATGTTTACTAGTCTAAGATTTCAAGAATGTTCACAATTAATATTATAAACACATACATTTTACTGTTTTCACATTTACATATTTTGAATTGCATTCCATGCAGAATAAACTGCTTCATTGCCAAGTACCCATAAAAGGTAAGTTCATGAAAGACAAGTTACCAGTAAATTAACAATTTCAGTGATTCATACAGTAAGTATCATATCTCACTGTTTTATAGTAGTAATATCAATGTTTTCAACTACCATTGCAGGGTTTTGATATTTTGGAGGTATATTTGTACCACAACAATAGCAAAACTTAATGCTCTGTGAAAATAATTAAATTTTGAGCAATAGCAGTGGTTGGGCCAGGATTTTCCAAAAGGTGACCAAGAGAGAAAAACCAACAAAATTTAGCCTATAATGGGGATAGTTTGGGGATAGTGATGGCAGTAAAAAATAAAATGTATTGAAAAAAAAATATTTAGCAATAAGCCCCTTCCCCAAATCCTTTATCTGCCGATTTTTCCTTCCATATATGTGCATACTTTGTGTTACTTACCTGAATTTCAAACAAAGATGATACTGGTTTATGATCACTAAGTTTGTATGACATGTGTGACTCGTATGATAATTGTTTAACATCTAATGCTATATTCTCAAATGAATCTTCATGTACATGCCACAAGATTCTATCACAGTATGCAGGTATTCTCCGTTTGGCACTGTAACATAAAGACAATATATTATAATGCAGAGGTGCATGCCACATATATATCTACCATTGTATATAGATATTGTATGTCACCATTATATACCAAGAATCAATTTTTACATCTGAAGTTAAATAAATATCTATCAGTAGCCTAATAATATATCATTTTTCTACATATTGGCAAAGAAGAGGTATGTACTGATAATCTAAAGGATCGGCAGAGACTTAATAGCTCACTAAGTAATAAACTAGTCCAGCTTTGACCTTAAACCGCGTTATATTATTATATTGAGTGCTAAAAAGAATAAATATTTTAGACTTAATTAAGGGTATATTTCCAGTAGGTCAAACTTTTTAATGCCAATGTTGAAAAGGGTGATCTTTTTGTTTAAAATAGCAGATTTTTGAAAAAAAACTTCATGGATTGAAGCAATCTACTCACATGCACATATTATGTATCAGGATCTAATATGCATTAAGTTTCATGTAAATCAATAACCATGTAAAAGGAATTAAAATGACAAGGTGGGTGCTGGAAAGGACAAAATTTCAACATTAAAAGAGGTATGGGCACAGAAAACTTTGATTGACAAGAACATCCTTCCCTCAAAGTCATACACATCTGCATATTAATATGGAATACAAATAAAACAAGATTTATCATAATATAATAATCTATGCAAGAAGAGGAGTAATGACAGGTTTAGTTCTGAACATGGTTACCGTATTCTCTTATGATAGTGGCCAGTTATCTATTTCTTGCATGAAGAGATATACCTCGTATCACACTGCAGGGAGTGTGATACCAAAAAGTGATACGAAAACTGGGTTTATTTTATTGCCTTATACAGCATCATGAGACAATATTATAACATTTTCATTGGCTATTTGTTAGGTCATTGATACTTTCAAAGATTAGACGTTGTACATTTTGTCCATGGCATCAGACATATCTGATTTCTTGAATAATCTACAAAACACTCACACTTTTCACATGTAAATTTTCTATTTGTAAAATTTTATTACATTCTGAGGCATACAAAAAATTTTAAAATGTCTGATGTTGAAGTTTGATTCCGGCAAAGGACATATGACGACAAACTGGTGCATGTGCAAAAGACTAGATCACCGATTCACAGAAATTTTAATTTAACAAAATAAGAGTGTTGACCATAAGAGAAACAGGTTTAACAGCTCTTTCAAATTGGATATCGCTTGATATCATCTCTCGTTATTTAATTTAGATAGTAATAACAAACTTGCCAAAGGCTCCTTTATTCTTATATTGAAATAAAATAACTTGAGTTGATATCAAGCGATAGTCAATTCTCACTTGTTATGAAACCTATAATTATTTGTTTTTTCAAAGGGGCATAATTCTGGAACTCAATAGATTAGACCATCCAATTCTAATGCATTTTTATATTTTTAAACTGCCAAGAAGTAGCATTCCCAGGTACTTAATGTTGATAAAACACATCAGTCTACTCCACATTTCTTTTTTATTTATAACTAGGCAAAAATATATATGGACTGATTTATAGTACACTTGCTGTTTCTAGAATACACTAGATAACGTAAATAAAACACAAATCCTGGTGATGGTTATTCACATAACTTTCATATTTTTGTGCTAAAAATGGATACATGTCCAACTATTTTGACTTATTACAGGATTTAACTGTTAACACCAATGGTTGCTTTATGTGTAAAGGAAGTACTCAACATTCTGACAAGCTCAATTAAGTTTTTACTTGGATTGGTGTCATGCATTTTTTTTTTCTCTCCTGAATGTTTGTTTTTCTTTGTTTGGTTGCTATTGTTCATGGCATTATCTATCTGTTTTTTCCCTTAATTTCTCCTTTTTTTTTGCAGCTGAAAAGTGTGAAATTAGGATTTTTGGAAAAGTATAAGAAGGTGTTATGGGTGTATGTTTTGTAGTGTACATATATATATAGATTCTACCACTGCATCGAGTGTGATACGATATTTATCCACTCGAGACAGTTAAATTTTCAAATTTAAAATGCGAGGCTCGTCGAGCGTTTTAAATATTTAAAATTTAACTGTCGAGAGTGGATAAATATCGTATTACACGAGATTTGGTTGTGGAATCTGTTTCTCTAATGATTTTCAAACAATACACAGGCAAACTTATTCCTTCTTTTCGAATGATCTGCAAAAAGACGTGTTCTTTCTATGTGACGTCATCAGGCATGGTCGCCTTTTTTCATGCCATCACAATAGGAAATTCAGAGGAAAGCAAGAAAATTCGATGTCATAATCGGATTTTAACCAATGAAGAACTGAGATCAAACGAACCACACGTTGATTAAATTTTTTTTATACAATGGGTGCAGAAAGGGATAAATTGACAAAGAATTAGAGAAATACTTGTATATGCATTTAGGTATTATAACCATAACTGACCACATAACTTTTAAATAAAAATGGATGTTCTATGAAGGCAAATAATTATGACTTTAGAAAACACTGGAAAAACTTTAGAAATATTATTCATCTGGTAAATTCTATGCGAGAGTTTACACATGCTTTTAAGGTTTTAGTTGCCCATGAACATTGCATTTATCCAAAAAAATATATACAACTTAACTGTTTTTGTTTTTCAAAATTATACATATTTAAACACCATTTTGATTATGGTCTGAATACCTGAAAACCTGTATTAATACTATCTAACAGCATGAATATATATAATTACCTTGTGTCATAATTATCTGTTCCAGGATCAAACTTGTAAGTCGGAGGAAATGTTATTTGACCTTCTACAAAGTCTACAAATATCAGATCTTCTTCCATACATTTTAGTAGCTAGAAAGATTTAAATTTATCCAAATAAATATAAATATTACAGTGAAACCTGCTTTAAAGGTCAACTCTATTAAGTAAATACCTGTCATGTCAGGTCAACAAGCTCTTGTCTTGCTGTAGTAATAACTATGCATATGTCTACTTAATTCAGGGGTCACCAGTTATCTTTTGTCTAAGTGAGTGAAGGGTGAATTTTACATACAGCTATGACTGATTAGAAAAAATCTTACTGGTATGATTTTTTAAAAATATATTAGCGGTTGAGATAATTTAAAAAAAGTTTACTTTAGTACAAAAGTCTTAAATAAGAATGAGAGCAAAATAATGCTCTGTATGATTTTTCAACAAAATTTTAAACAATAAACTGTTGACAGAGAGATATGTCCTACTGGTCGGCAGAAAATTCAGAAAAAGACAATCTGATGGACAGCAACATTGCTAATTAATTCAAAGTTGCTGGAACATGACATAGAGGGCAGCACATCAAAATCATTGTCAAACTGAGATGTGAATGTAATGCAACTTTACAGAAAATATCATTGATCTATCACAAGTAGTTCCTTTCAAACTAACTTAAGAAGAAAACTTAACATTGAAAATTGCTAATTAATTCAAAGTTACTTGACCATAACCCAGGGGGCATGGTCTCGAAATAGTCGTCAAACTGATATGTACTGATAGTTATGCAACTTCATAATAAACATTGATGATCTATCACAAGTTGTTCCTATCAAACTGACTTAAGCAGAAAACTTAACAATTTTTTATGCCTTCACCAACCGTAAAACTACACCTATGTCGCGGAAGCTTCCGAGACATACGTAGCTAGGGAGACAAAGACCTTCAGTCAAATAAATTTTTAAACAGAGCATCTCATTGTTTATTTACACATTTGTTGACACTAGAACTCTGAAAATTCAATTATGTTTAAATTCAAACACAGACTGTAAGTTTTACAAATTTGTTTATAAAAGCTGCTTAAATTCACTAAGAATACTGATTAACTACTGTATAATAACCTGATCATACTCCATTAAAGCTTTGTAGTCCCCATATCTGATAGCTCTCTCTACATAAGTACTTGTTACTTTCTGTAGTCGGAAGTTCAAGTCTCCCATAAAAAATATGTAGCTGAAAAAAAAATATATATGACATTAAGAAAACTTATATCAATATATTAAATGTTATTGCTTTATGTCCGGTAGCAAATATTATTGATTAGAAGAGAGAAAAATAATACCTTTATTTCAAACTTTCATGCAGGTGTCTGAAAAATATTAATAATTATGGTAATATAAGGGAAATATATGAAGCATATGTTAGCTTACTTTGCCGATATATAATTATAATTTGTAGATATTACCCCCACAGATGTGTTTTTCAATTCACAGTTGAAGCATAATTAACATCTATCAAAGAATTCTGCTTAAATTTGCCGTTTCAGAATCTAATGCATTCTGGGTAATATTTTCAAAAGCGTACACCAAAACGTTGTGATTGGTTTAAAATGTCCTAAACAATGGAAAATCAACCAATGATGTAACTTTATTTTCATTTTGGTGTACTAACAATGAGTTTATCCATAGTCCTTTATATTCTGAAAAGGCGAATTAGGGCTAGGGGTTGTCTTGAACTTTCAGTGAGGGGAGATTTTTTGCTCCATGTTAAAAACTTCACTTTGACTTTGAGATGAAGAACAGGAATAAAAACGCTGTTCCTTTGATTTTGTTTTTTTTTTTCAAGTGCATGTAGTGATTTGTGTCATGAATTAAATACATAGAGTTAAGCATATTTCTGAAGTTTGCTGAGAAACGTTTTTTTTTAATTTATTTATAAGTGCAAAAACACTAGGTGTACCATTTAACAAGACTGCAAATTCTATCTTGAAACTAGTGATTGTATATGTTAGTACTACTTCAACTTCAATAAAAATTTTTAAAAGTCTAACTTCATATGTCCATTTCATACAACCAACATATAGTACATAGAATTTGGGGTTTTGTTTTGTGAAACAGGTAATAAGTTAAATATCATGTTAAAGAAAAAAACAGAAGAAAAACCATGTTTGTTTCTTTTAATCTTGACCTAGTGCAAGACAGAAAAATCTCAGGATTAAAAAAAATTAAATGTCATGAATTCTGAATTCACGATGAAAGCAGTCTATAAAATTAACAGATTATGTAGTGAATTTAAGCTATATCATCCAATTAAAATTCAAAATCTAATAAGTTAAACTCCGTTTGGTGAACCAACGCCTGTGTGAATCCTTTCGGTAGAGCCCATGAAGTGGATACCTTTGGTATGCCGGGTTGTCAAATAATGCAAATGAATGCAACACTTAAGTAATACTCAAAATTAACAACACTTTAGATGGTCTGCAACTTTATTTGCTATGGTCTACATGTTTCGCCTGCAAGACAGGCGTCATCAGGACAATTTACATACAGAAATTATTTACTGAAGTACCCAAACTGGTATCTTGAATTTGACGTCACAATGTGTGTTGTCAAGGTGAGAGAAACAATGAAAAGTGAAAGTAGCAATAAAAAGTTATAAATAGATAAGATAAATATAGAAAAATAAAGTTTGTTTACAATGTAACTTGAGTTCGTTTTACTGTTATATGATACATGACATTGTTCTAAAGGCTTGGTATCTAAATGGATGAACTTCTCATGGTTCCTACCACTTCGCAAGGCTTCTCTTCCAACCTGGCCATTGTTGGTTGTTACTACTTCCTGGCGCGTCGGTAACAATGGGAAGATTATGATCGCCGCTAATGGAAAATATAATTGTCAGAAATCATTCCCTTGTTAATTATTTGGTATATATATATAGTTTTTTTTATCGTCTGCTGTAGTTATAATCCGTTTACCGGCCTGGTTGTAAATTTCAAGATCCAATAAGGTTCTGTTTAAATAGGTTTTACTGTATAATAATATGCCTCTGACTGGTTGAAGTGTCAAAAACATGTGAAAAGTTTAAGGGGTTCCTTTTTCTAACATAATAACAGACAAACAAGATATGACACAAACTGACTTACTCATGGTCAAGAATATGGTCCACATCTTTATCCCTGAATTTCTGTGTCCTCAAAATAGTATGAAAATCCTTGAAATCAGAAATCATATTATGATAAAATTATCACGAGACGCCCCAGCCTATTTACTTAGCAATATTATTCTGTATCTATCTACAGCGATCAGCGAAACAGATTTTGGCTGATGGAAAATATCTTATTCCGAGTTTTCTTAAAATAAACCCTTTCAAGTAAGCTAAAGGTGGCTCCACTTCTGTCAAAGCTCATGTTATTTAATTCTAGTGATGAGAGTAAAAATTGAAAACCTTGAACAAAGACAGCGACCTTTTTTAACAATTAAAACTTCATTTTAAAAAGTCAAAACAAACTTTAAGCATGCAGCTGACAATTTCCATCCAATTTTGGATGTATAAGATTTTCCAGTTATTGTGTAATCAGAATTAGGCTTCATAATTTTTTTGTAGAAATAAATATATGGGTTACAAAAAGTCAAATTTAAAAAACACTGATACAAATTGATTATGAGTTTTGGTATATTTTTCAGAGATATAAATAAAAGGAGACAGTAAAATGCATTCTTATTTTACTTTTACTAGTACCTATTATACCTCTATTCTTTCACGGACATTATCCATATGTGCTGCCAGATGAGCGTTGACAATGATCATATTTACACCATTTACATCAAATCTTACACTCACTGCACCTTTGTTTCCCTATAGAGATAAATAGATGTGTAGTAAAACATTGTACACATATACACATTTCAAAAAATGTACAACATTTGAGTATTAATATTTTTTACCCACTTGAGGAACATTTGATTTAGCCCATGTTTATGATATACAATCTTAATTGAAACCATGAAGATGGATAAAACCATCATAATTTTATTTTAGATATGTGACATTTTTTCTTAACTGACACTGTTTATAGAGCAACTCTGTACCAATATTAAATTCATTCACGATCAAGTTCATTGTAGGTTTAGTGTGACTGTCCTGAATTCCTGTGAAGGCAAATAATTACAAAAAGGTAAAACATTTAATATATTGTTGCAGATGTAAGCTGCCATATTGGTAAGTTAGATGCATACACAATTCACTCATGTTTATCGTAGGTATCTCTGATTTCATGTCTGAATGCAACCTACAAGACAATCAACCATCAAGGTCTAAATAGCCTATATATCTATATTCAATACCAGATTTGTACTAGCCATACTTTCTAAGACATTTATGAATCTATGTGCTGTACCTAACTGACATCTGAATGTAACTGCCCTTGTTTTCTCTGATACTATATGAGTACCTATGCTAGATCCACCCACATCTTTCTGTGATATCTCTGATACTATATGAGTACCTATGCTAGATCCACCCACATCTTTCTGTGATATCTCTGATACTATATGAGTACCTATGCTAGATCCACCCACATCTTTCTGTGATATCTCTGATACTATATGAGTACCTATGCTAGATCCACCCACATCTTTCTGTGATATCTCTGATACTATATGAGTACCTATGCTAGATCCACCCACATCTTTCTGTGATATCTCTGATACTATATGAGTACCTATGCTAGATCCACCCATGACTTTCTGTGATATCTCTGATACCATGTGAGTACCTATGCTAGATCCACCCATGACTTTCTGTGATATCTCTGATACCATGTGAGTACCTATGCTAGATCCACCCATGACTTTCTGTGATATCTCTGATACCATGTGTACCTACTCACATTCATTCGTCCTTGCCCTGTTTGTCATAGATATCCCTCATACCATGAACCTATACATGTACCTACCCACCATCCACCCATGCCTGCCCTGGATATCTCTGATTCTATATGTGTGAAGCTCAGTATGTCTTCCCTCTTCACAAAGACTACCAGTAAAATAGCTTGCATTCTTACAGATTTAACCTGTTGGAAAAAAAAATATATGTACATTAATGTCATTTGCAAATTTTAGAAAAGGTTGGTTTCATTCATAAATAGTGAGTGCCTTCAAATAATTATTTGACATAAAATAAATGGGGAATGTGTCCATGGGACACAGATGATGCCCCCACTTGCATATAACATTATAAAGGGACATAACTCAAGAATGGTAAAAGTGACGCTTCCCAAATATGTACTTGATCTGAGTTTCGTGGTAATAGGCAAACTCAAAGTAGAGAATGGAAACAAAAAAATCAACAATTTTCCTTTTGTAAAGGAGCACAACTCTAGAACGGTAAAAGTGACACCACTAGAATTCAAAATTGATCTGTGTTTTGTGGTAATAAGCATTGTGTATAAGATTCATAACATTTGGTTGAGGCAAACTTAAGTTAAAGAATGGAAACAAAAAATTCAGCAATTTTTCAAGTTGTAAAGGGGCATAACTCTAGAAAGGTAAAAGTGACGCCACCCAAATTCAAACTAGATCTGTGTTTTGTGGTAATAAGCATTTTAAATAAGTTTCATAACATTTGCTTGAGGCAAACTAAAGTTAGAGAACAGAAACCAATTTTTGGGCGTACGGACGAACATACAGACGGACAAGAGTAAAACTTAATGCCCCTCTGCTACGGCAGGGGCATAAAAAATACTGTCACTAAAAATAGGTTAACCACTGACATTAAGAAAGTCTTAACCAGTCATTCCAAGGTCCCATTGGACAATGCCAAATGACTGGTAAAATTGCTTTTTGTCCATTAAAGGTTGTTGCTCAAGTGAACTAAATGTCCAGTAAATATTCAGAATTTTTTATATGAAAAATAACAAAATGACTGGTAAAAATGGTCTTCAGTCAAGTGAAATCCCTATATTAACTGGACGGAATGTCTGGTGAGGTTTGAAAGACTTTGGGAAACACTGCTAAACCTATATTAGAAAATACAGCTGAAAGACCTACCCGGTAATAACTCCTGCAGGCATGTTAGCGAGAATTATAATAAAATGTTTTATTCAGTTTCGATTTTAATAACTTACCCTTAAATGGTCCGTGTAACACTTATCAATTCAAAATTTTAAAAAGTTTTCAAATTTTAGGTTTTTTTTGGAATTTTGATCAAAGTTTTAAAATATGAAAAATTCCAAATTTTTGAAAAATTTTGAAATTTTGAAATTTTAACCAAATAATTAAAGTTTAAAACTCAAAAAATCATTTTAAAATTTGATAGTTTAGATATTTGATCAAACTTTAAAAGTACTAAACTTAACGTGCAGTTTTGATAATTTGGCTTTTTGAAAGTTAGATTTTTTAGATTTTTGATTAAGATATATTAAAAATAGAAAACAGGCGAAAAAGGAACGTACGTATCATTATTGCGTTTGGGGTACCTGTAAAGTGTGAAACGAACAAGAATGAAAAGAAACAAAACAAAATGAAATGAAGAGTTTCTGTTACTTAAATGTTATCTATTTAACACTGCTACCCGCTATACATGCTGAATTTAAGAGTAATATCAGATATTAGTAGCTTGGAGCCAGGATAATGTTGAAAGGTAGAACGTTAACATCCAACTCAGCATGCTGGTCTTGTAAAAGCTGAATACATTCATTCCATATAAACATATAACATAAATATTATTTTCAGCCTGCATATTTATGTAATAGTTGCCGCTGTACATTAAGTGCCCATCTATTCATGTGTCATGTGTGTCGGCATTTTGATAAATGCGTGTCGTCAGTTTAATATATGAGCAACACCATGTTAATTTTTTTATTGATTCAGTTGTGAGGAAGTTTTGATAATGAAATATGTTTTTGTGTTGTCATTATAATTGTCTTCTTCCCTAGACAACGGTTACAATCAAGTCCCCTCCTCTCCAAGGGACTGGATCATAACCCTTGACTAGCAAAGATGTAAAATTGTATATACCTTGTTTTTTCTCTCTTGGAGGGGGCTTGCAAATGCTTAAAATTCAATATATTTTGAAGTAAAAAAAGAACACTGTTTAAAAAAATGGCAATCTATTTAAATTGGGTTTTTTTTTGTCATATTTACTTTTTGATTTATTATTTTAGCATAATTTAGGTTGTTGGTTGTCTCATTTTATCATGTCATGTAACACAGTAAGTAAAGTGTCCGGCTGAGATCGTGTCTTTTGGGTGAATCAGTCAACCTCTTTGGAGTGAAATCAAATGCGACTAGATCGATTTACTTCTATTTCGCAAGTATGATAGTTTTATTCATGACTGTTCATCTTCTTCTGAATACTATATATATTTATATTAAGCCCAAACAATGCACAATTTACATGAATTTCACTCAAAATTCAGCGTTTTACATTTGGCAAGGGTTTTAATGCCGGTCAGGACAGGACCTTAGTGAGAATATTTCTATTTCCGATTCCCAAATAGATTACCATTTAGATTGGTCACTTCAACTTACTCATATGTTTATCGTTGATATGAAATTTTAAAAATCATTTCAAATTATAATTTCAAAATGCTGACACCTACATATGGATAGATGGGTGCTTAATGTTCAGCGGCAACTATTACATAAATATGCAGGCTGAAAATAATGTTTATGTTATATGTCTATACGGTATGAATGTATTCAGCTTTTACAAGACCAGCACGCTGAGTTGGATGTTAACGTTCTACCTTTTAATATTATTCTAGCTCCAAACTACTAATATTTGATCTAATTCTTAAATTCAGCATGTATAGCAGATATCAGTGTAAAATAGATAAAAACAACATCCCACTTTCCAGGCTAGCACAATGTTCATTGCGACACCATGTATTCAGTATTCCTACAGTACCAATACTTAGAACTGAAATCAACGATAAAAGGAATATATGATCGTCATGCAATCGATAAAAAATGAAAACAACACGTCTAAGAATTGCCTACGTCCAAAGCGCTTTTCTGGATTTACCTTCACCAGGAACGCTCAAAAGCCGTATATTTGAAGGCCAATGATTTATAAGAACCGAAATAGTTGATTAAAGGTTAAAGATGATCATTCAAAATGTACCTTCAATAATCTCATCTGCCGACATGATTGCAGATAGTAAGAAGTCGTAAAGCAAAACAAAACAATCTGAAATCAAATTTGAGGGAATACACTTGTATTGAACCATTTTATTGCTTAAGGTACAGTAGAAAATATATACTCAACCCTACTATACTATTTGGCTTACTGCGGGTTGGTCAGTTTTCACTGTTACTCCTATATGATGGGCGCTTGGAAAACCAAATAGTTCTGAATTTTCTGAAACTCTAAGCTTATGTTAGAGATTTTTAAAATTAAATCAATCTGTTTGATGCAGTTTTAAATAGGTTTAAAAATTGGTTTTTTTTTCAATAGATCCAAAACCTTAAAAATTTCAGGATACTGTTATCTCATGTGATGTCCAATTTGTTTAAAGAAAAACGACTTCTTCTTCCAATTATTCTTTTTGCAATTAAAAATAATTTGGTATATTTCGTGCTATTTACTCCTAAGAATGATCATAATCAGAGCAGTGTTTTTATGTTTTAAAATGAATTCTCTGCTTTCGAGAAATATTCATTTTGTTATTCAATTTTTCACCACTTACAACTGTCTGCCTCTTGTTTTATTTTATACATTAACATTTAAGTAACAGACACTGTTCATTTCATTTTGTTTCGTTTCTTTTCGTTTTGTTCGTTTCGTTCCGCTTTTATTCCTTTTCGCACTTTACAGGTACCCCAAAAGCGATAATGATACATATGTTCTCTTTTCACCCGGTTTGTATTGTTTTCAATATCTTAATCAAAAATAAAAAAAATCAAACTTTCAAAAAGCGAAATAATCAAAACTGCACGTTAAGTTTAGTACTTTCAAAGTTTGATCAAATATCTAAACTATCAAATTAGAAATGATTTTTAGAGTTTTAAAATTTTAATTATTTGGTGAAAATTTCAAAATTTAAAAATTTTAAAAAAATTTGGGAATTTTGATATTTTAAAACTATCAAAATTCAAAAAAAATAAAATTTGAAAACTTTTTTAAATTTTGAATTGATAAGTGTTACAAGGACCTTAAATATACCTTATCAGAGAGAATTTTTGTGAGATGTTTTGTCCAGTCATTGTAAACCTACCCTGAAATATCCCTTTTCAGAAAGAATTTCTGTGAGACGTTTTGTCCAGACTCCAGTCATTGTAAACCTACCCTGAAATACCCCCTATCAGAGAGAATTTCTGTAAGATGTTTTGTCCAGTCATTGTAAACCTACCCTGAAATTTCCCCTATCAGTGAGAATTTCTGTGAGATGTTTTGTCCAGACTCCAGTCATTGTAAACCTACCCTGAAATACCCCCTATCAGAGAGAATTTCTGTAAGATGTTTTGTCCAGTCATTGTAAACCTACCCTGAAATATCCCCTATCAGTGAGAATTTCTGTGAGATGTTTTGTCCAGTCATTGTAAACATGGTCATCACCCCCTGTCATTTCCTGTAACCTGAAACAAAGAGGTCAATCATTCAGCTCCAAGCAAAGATAGATGCTGGTTTTTTATTTTTTATATCATTTGGTGTTTGGAATAGTTGTTCCAATGCATATGCATGTATCTTGCCTCACTGGAAATATTTGCTTTGGAAATGCACAGAATTGCTGAGCTTGCTTTTAAGCAACTGATGTTTATATAGTTTAATACCCTTACACTTGAAAGGAAAACTAGAGGCTCTCAAGAGCCTGTGTCGCTCACCTGTATTTACTGATGCTTTGGAAATCATGTAAAATAAGGTTAAAATCATAATTAATAGTATTAGATATTAGATATTATAATGATATCTAAGATAAAAACAAAAAACTGAAAAATTTCTGTAAAATTACTAACTCAGGGGCAGCAACCCAAAAACAGGTTGTTGGATTCGTCTGAAAATTTCAGGGCAGATAAATCTAAATCTGATGAACAGATTTGCTCTAAATGCTTTAGTTTCAGAGATATAAACCAATCAAAGAGCTGAAAGCTCTGAGGAAAAATGACGCCACTGTCTCTAATATTGTGATATATTTTATGCAAGTCTTGATTTTCACATACCGTAATTAGTTTAACATTCCAACATGTCTCATAAGCATATAATTGATATTCGTATATGTGTGTGTTATGTGAAGATGACAACTGGCTGTTTTTTTAGTACAAATGTATAGGTCAAGACTACCTGAATGATCTACAGTATCCAATGACTACTGGCTGTTTTTTTCTATAAATAAATAGGTCAAGACTACCACAATGATCTACAATATCCAATGACTACTGGCTGTTCTTTTGTACTAATAAATAGGTCAAGACTATTTGAATGATCTACAATATCCAATGACTACTGGCTGTTCTTTTGTACATATAAATAAAGACTACTTGAATGATCTAAAGTATTCTAAGTAATGTGATTTTTGTCTTGCAATTACATTTTTCTAAATCAAGAATATAGACTACTAGTATCCTTTTCAAACCAAATGATTATGAAGAGCCTGTTGTTATCAAGCTCTTATACCCCACATACTCATTAAATAAGTTACTAGTGACCTAGTTATTTCTGTTACTTGAAGCAAATTATATTTCTGTAGATTTAGACAATAGTATAATATTGTTTTACTAGTTTTATTTCACCTTGAAGATTAGACAAATAGGGATACTCCTTTGATTTTTTATTTCATGTCAGTCAGGTCGCTTTATATGAAACTTGAAACCACTTCTCTGCCATATTGTTATTTCATAACAACTCTGCCCTTGACCATATTGACCCATGTAATTGATATTCATTCTTTAACCATATATCATAGTCAGTTAGTTTTTGATTTTGCACTCCCACACCACCTTTCAGGTCAAATGTCTGTCTCCATTTAAGTTAATGACATTGAACAATCATGGTATTAAACACAATTCCAATAGTGATAATGCTGTTCTAGTAGGTCACCATATATTCAACTCGGGTAGCATTCCAGTTATTGAAATTTGTGTCAGATTAGAACAATGATCTAGACCTTTAGGAATGGATCTTACAATTTAATATGGAGCCATAGTATGGGACCCCTACACGGTAACAAAAAAAAACAAGCTTGAAAAGATACAACGTCAAGCGGCAAAATCTATCACCAGAAATTACAAGTCAAGAGAGGATGGACGGGATACGTCTCTAAAATGCTTGCCTAACTGGAACTACAACAAGATCTCCAGACAAGATGAACAAGGAGTTGAAGCCAGAAGTTAATATTTATGTAAAAAGTAGTTGAGGGGCTGATTCCCGCTATTGAACCATACTGTCATTCTATAATATTATTGCGCAAGTATTTCTGTATTGTCCTTGTTATTGGTCCATGTCTTGGTGTATTGGTCTGAGGCGAAGCCGAAGGCCAATACTGCTGGCCGAGGACCAACAATAAGGCCAATACAGAAATACATGTAACAGTATCTTTATTAATTAACTACAGTGTTACAATATTTTTTTATTTCATTTCACAAGAGATAAACATTTTTACCTTGAAGTGGAACTATCCAAATCTCAGTTTCTTTTTATAAGATGCAATATCTAATGATTTGGTGCCGTTTCCATGCATCTTCAGCCTTTTCTCATCTGATGAATTTTTCTACCCTTTCCAGTCACTATAAAGTGTTACAACTTTAATTTAGACACAACACATAAATAGTAATTGGAAAGGTACTGCCATTGCATGTGTAATGCAAATATATTTAAAAAAAATAATAATGTAAGAGTTGAAATTGATACAACTATCCATACGCCAATTGACCAAAGAACGAAGATTTGCGCAATTACAGAATGCATATGCCTGGTTCGGGTTTAAAAATAAAAGACCGTTTACAAAACATGAGAAGAGAAAGTGAACAGTAAAAATCGACATGATGAAATTATGAGGTCGTCAAGAAATGAACTTTGTGATAATTTACTCGTTCCCTAAACCTGAAATATTTCCATCGTCTACTTTCAAAATGCTTTTCAAATGAATGGGACCGTCTTTAACCTAAAATATATGCCATACTGAACGTTTCAGCTTGTTTATGGTGAGTAAATAAAAACTGCGTCGTACAAACAACTGTTTACTTTCAGTTTGAGTTTATCGTGACTTACGATCTAAAAACTAGAGACGTTCCGAAATCCTGTTTTGGCCGGATCAGAACTCGGCCAATACGAAAAAAAAACCGGTATTGGCCGAGTTGACATCTTATATTGCATATGCAGTTTTCATCATTTTAAGTACAATAACAGTGTAGTTAATTAATAATGATACAGTTACAGACTCTGCTGCTATAACTTTGTGAACAAAGATTCATACGCACCGCGTGGGTATAACCGTATTACTAATTTCCGATTATTAAAATCTTCGTAAATCTTGATAAAGACCAGTTTCTATCCAATGGATATCAAAATGATTCCGATTATTACTTTTTTAATGATTGTAAAGTTGAAATGGCATGAAAGGCTGACATTATTTAGGAGAACTATTTTGTCTAGCGATTGCTGATCATTGGAGGGTAAAAAGTCCAACACCATAACAAAACGGATCTATTTATCATGTATACATACCGATTGTTTACGATTGTAAGACATGTGCATAAAAGTGAAAGCTTGAATAAATATGAAAAATATAACAAAGGGATAGCTCCAAATACCATTTAATAACAAAAAACATATGGACAGGTCAAGATATCTTTTTGGTAAATAAAATAACGTATGTAAACTGGTTCCCGTCCGACTACAACACTTTAACAAAGACTTTGTTCGAGTGTAGCGTAATACAAGCAGATTCCAGTTAGTATGTAAAATAGTAAATATGAAACCGAGTGCGGTAGGCGGAGGCATAATCAACTTCCGTTAGTTCTGGTCAATGGTATCGGAAACATGCCGCTGATAGCGTCATTTTCCAAAAACTGCATTTTACCCCTATGTTCTATTTTTAACCATGTCGGCCATGATGGTTGGAAGGCGGGGTCATCGGACAAATTTTTTAAACTAGATACCCTAATAATGATTATGGCCAGGTATGGTTAAATTTGTCTCAGTAATTTCAGAGAAGATTTTTGTAAAAGATTACAAAAATTTACGAAAAATTGTTAAAAATTGACTATAAAGAGCAATAACTCCTAAAGGGGTCGACTGACAATTTTGGTCATGGCGACTTATTTGTAGATCTTACTTTGCTGAACATTATTACTGTTTACAGTTTATCTCTATCTATAATAATATTCAAGATAATAACCAAAAACTGCAAAATTTCCTTAAAATTACCAATTCATGGGCAGCAACCCAACAACGGGTTGTCAGATTTGTCTGAAAATAAGCAGATAGATCTTGACCTGATAATCAGTTTGACCCTATGTCAGATTTACTCTAAATGCTTTGGTTTCAGAGATATAAGCCAAAGTCTACATTTTACCCCTATATTCTATTTTTAGCCATGGCGGCCATCTTGGTTGGTTGGCGGGGTCATCGGACACATTTTTTAAACTAGATACCCTAATGATGATTGTGGCCAAGTTTGGTTAAATTTGGCCAAGTGGTTTCAGAGGAGAAGATTTTTGTAAAAGCTAACGACGACGAAGGACGACGGACGCCAAGTGATGAGAAAAGCTCACTTGGCCCTTCTGGCCAGGTGAGCTAAAAAATGTGAAACATTTGGATTTGAGATATTTTACAAGATGTTAAATATCTTTACATTATAATTTAATTCAACATATATATATATATCTACCTTCAATTTTTAAACAGAAACAAAATCAAATGAAGTTTCGCAAACAATTTATTTTTGCAACTATCACTAGTAGTAAAATAACTAGGTTTAAATAGTCGTGAATATATGAAATACTTGGATCTTCCCATATATGTAACATGTATATAAACATATACTTCAAGAAAATTAGAAAAATTGTAATTACAAATAACCACAAAATTGGCTGGAAAGAGGTAAACATGAAATAAAGTATTCACGAAAAATAAGTTTGGCCTGTTAACTTTCCTGATTCAAGCATCACTGATGAGTCTGGTGTACAACATTGTAAGCCTGGTATCTTTGATCAGTTCTTTTGTTTTTACTATATTCATGATATTCTCAAGTTTTTTGAAATTATTAGAAATGACTGATAATTATTTTCTCCTACAGTTTTCATAAAGTTGAATAGAGAGATAACTGCCTGAAATATGCAAGTAATAATTACATGCCTCAATCTATTATTTCACTGATAAATAAAAGTATAAATGAAACTGTTTACATGTTTACTGCATCTGATAATGTTGCTTGTATAAGCTAAATTTGTTGGTTCCATCAAATGTTTGAATGATGTTCATGATTTTGGCAAATATTGAAATACAATACAGAGATGTAAAAGTTCCAAAATCAATGAGACTAAAGGGAGGTGGTGTGTATGCAAATGAACAATTTATAAAGAGGGTTTAGTTACAATTTTGTACTTAAAGTGTAAACTTTAAAGATATAAAATACTCAAATATGCACTAATTTGGTTTTGTGTAATAATAAGTTGTCAGCATGGATAAATCTCAGTTTAGGTTGCTTATCTCTTCAAAATAAAATTACCCAACAGCATAAATATTTGGCAATTGATCCTGATCCAATTTTAACAGTTCTGTGAAATCTGTGGGTGCATTTCTGTCTCCTACATTCCATGTCACCATGTACAGCCTGCATGAAAATATCAATAAAAGTTATCTTAATAAAACTTTCCATGTCACCATGCACATCCTGCATGAAAATATCAATATAAGTTATCTTAATAAAACATTCCATGTCATCATGTACAGCATGCATTAACATATCAATATAAGTTATCTTAATAAAACTTTCCATGTCACCATGTACAGCCGGCATGAACATATCAATATAAGTTATCTTAATAAAACTTTCCATGTCACCATGTACAGCATGCATGAACATATCAATAAAGTTATCTTAATAAAACTTTCCATGTCACCATGTTCAACCTGCATGAAAATATCAATAAAAGTTATCTTAATAAAACTTTCCATGTCACAATGTACAGCCTGCATGAAAATATCAATATGAGTTGTCTTAAAAATATCAATGTAACATGTATAAGTTGTCTTAATAAAGCTTTCCATGTCACCATGTACAGCCTGCATGAAAATATCAACATGATCAATATAAGTTATCATGATAAAACTTTCCATGTCACCATGTACAACCTGCATGAAAATATCAACATGATCATATATGATAAGTTATCTTAATAAAACTTTCCATGTCACCATGTACAGCCTGCATGAAAATATCAATATAAGTTGTCTTAAAAATATCAATATAAGTTGTCTTAATAAAAATTTCCATGTCACCATGTACAGCCTGCATGAAAATATCAATATAAGTTGTCTTAAAAATATCAATATAAGTTGTCTTAATAAAAATTTCCATGTCACCATGTACAGCCTGCATGAAATTATCAATATAAGTTATCTTAATAAAACATTCCATGTCATCATGTACAGCCTGCATGAAAATATTAATATTAGTTATCTTAATTGATATTTCAATTTATATTTTATTGTGTCTTTTTATGTTGTACTGTTACACTGCTGTCTCAGTTTAGGGTGAAGGTTGGTGTCTGTTAAAACATTCAAACCCACTGCATTTTTATGCACCTGTCCTAAGTCAGGAGCCTGGAGTTCAGTGGTTGTCGTTCGTTGGTATTGTTCATAGGTGTTTCTGGTTTTTTATATACTAGATGAGACTGTTGGTTGTCCTGTTTGAATGGTTTTACACTAGTCATTTTGGGGGCTTTTATAGCTTACTGTTCGGTGTGAGCCAAGGCTCCGTGCTGAAGGCCGTACTTAGACCTATAATTGTTAACTTTTTATACATTGTGACTTGGATGGAGAGTTGTCTCATTGGCACTCATACCACATCTTCTTATTTATATATATATTAATAAATAATTCAACTGGAGGAAATAGCTGGAGGAAATAGCTCGTAATGCTCATCTTCTCTTCAACAGTTGTTCAACAAACCTTCAAGACACAGAAGATTACATTGTTAGTGGGCATGTGTGATATTCAAACCAATGGTAGTTTATCCATGTGATTGACAATGAGTAGTGTATTATTCAACAGTACCTATATGTATATTAAAAAAGTGAATACATATTTTTTGTGGTAAAATCAACTTTATCAATATCTGGTTTAATTCAGTTAATAGAGCACACTTGGTATAAGGTGTTTAATTCCTTAAGCTGTCAAAGTGGTTGACTATTCTCTAGCAAAATATATCAATCTGGATTTGAGTAGCTTTCAGCTAGTAAAGTTAATATTGGAGGTTATTTACAAATTATCATAATTGTAACACTATTGTTGATATGATCATGATGATAGTAACATATTATACATATATGAATCTAGCTTTTCTGTAACATTTCTTTTTTTTGTGATATATTTTGAGTAAGGGCCCCTTTGTGTATTTAAATACTGTCACAAGCAAACATAAACTAATTATATATAATCACTAGTATTACCATTTTATAAATTATTAAGCATTATCCATTAAAAAAGGCATGGACTATTCATCAAACAAAGATTATATATATATTTATTCAAGATAAAAGGCATGAAATTTGACAGACACAATAAATTAAAATGACATACAGATTATAGCACTAGAGTCGTGACTAGACACAAATAAAATTATGAAAATTATGAAAATTGCCTCACAGGGGTTAAACAATCCACTACCCCGACATCCGGGACTAAAATATTTACACCACAGGCAATCAAAACTTGTCATCAATATGCCCGACAGACTAGTTAGAGAAGTTCTTGGCGTTACCAAAATTGAAATAGAAAATCCCTTCTGCCATCCCTTCCCCACTATTTTTATCCTGGGAACAGTATATCTAACGGGAAATGAATCTGATAGGCTTTTCAGTATAAAATTGATAAAATCTCGGACTTTACGAGACTTCTCGTGATTTATGGATTTTGGTAGCGTCTGACTGAAAAACTATCCATGCTATCGGAACTGCTCAATTAATTAACCACATAATTCTAATCGTAAATAAATACAAGTTTTATCATAAAATATATATATTTTGTCATATGAAATGACCAAAATAAGTGTGATTTATTTGATGTAAAGTGTTTTATAATGGTTTGTGAATTTGTGAATGCAATTGACACCATTTTTTTATTACCCTGTTTGCATTCTGTACCCTTCTGTGATAAAATGAATGCGATTATAATAAATTTGAAGTGACAGATTACAATTTTCGATACACTGGTATCACTTTAAAACTTAGTTTGAATGACATTTTATTGATATTATCAGAAATTATTAGTATAAGAGTGAGTACATTTTTAACACGTCCGTTTCCGTATCATGTCTTTATTAGCTATGACCCGACAATGAAATCGGCTACAATTAGGTAGTGTCAAGTCCCGTCAATATATATGTTCCTGTTTTATCTTAGCCGATCACATTCAATTACAAGTCAGGGGTACTACTTAAACAAGTGATTTCATTATCACCTATTTCAGTGATTTGATAAATTCAGTAATCACCTATTTAAGTGATTTTGGTGTTTCCTTTGATCTTCAAATGCTAATTTCATTGATTTTCCATATTTTGACAAACTTTTCAATAATTTTCCTACATAGAACTAATTATCCCTTTCTTTTGTATATCAATTTCACCAGTGCGCTTGGACAGTAAGTTAGTGCGCTAAAGCTTTTAAAAGTACCCTTGGGAATTTTTCTATAATCAAATATTCATTAATTACTCTTACTATCAAACAAAGGTCAACAATATAAGGTAACCTGATTGGTTTTCTTTAGAGTTATAATGATCTACTTCAAGGTTATGTCCTGATCTACAAATTATTCCAGTTTTTGCATATTTTAAATAAACTGTAAAAACTGACAGGCTAATCAAGCAAAAGACAATTTCTGCATGTACATAGTTGTTTTTTCAATGGCATTCTTGTCTTTTTACCAATAAAAAAGGCAAGCTTGTGGGAGAAATATCAAGAAAATGTTATAAACACTTGTTGAAGTGATTACATTTTAACTTCTCAAATTACTTGTTTCAGTGATTTTAAAAAGTCTGTGTCTATTTTTGTGAAAATTTTTAATATTTCACAGCCAAAATCACTTGAAGAAGTGATTCTGAAATCACTTGTTTAAGTAGTACCCATGACTGATTACTTCATTCAGAATTCCAGGAATTTGAATGTTCTGATTTCTTACATGTTTCAAAAATAGAAAGAATAACTGTGGGTGGACCGGTATCATGTATTGATCACAATTCCTGTAGTTTCATTATCAATTTCCCAGTACTGAGGGATATTGTACATTGCTCAAGTGGAGACTGTACTTTGAGGGGGGGTCTGATCCCGAATCCCGCTTATTGTTTTGTCAGAATCCCGTATCCCGCTTGTCGTTGCCATAATAGCGCATGTAATTTCCCGCGTCCCGCACGACTTCGTTTCCCGTTTTCACGCTAAATTATTCGACTTTCACATGTCACGCTTAAAAAAAATCGGCCAATCCCGGATCCCGCTTACTGTTTAGTCAGATTCCCGTATCCCGCTTACACTATGTACGTAAGCAATTCTCATTTTTTTGTAATTTCCTGTGTCCAGCTAGATTTCATTTCCCGTTTTCACGGCACAATAATTTGACTTTCACGTGTCACGCTTACAAAAAATCGGCAATCCCGGGTCACACTTAGACCCCAATGAGACCCACTAAAGGCTGACTATGATGCATTGATTGATATGACCTATTACTTAGTAAAAAAAAAAATTATTTCAAAGATCATATGTATGAGATTTTATAATTATTTTGATTATAGAATATAGTGGCATATTGATATTATGATAAGGAAATGTGTATTGGATGTACCTGAAATTTTTTGTCTTGGTTTTTATTTTTTGTGCAGACATTTTACAATAAATGGATGATGTATCTCATGGAAAGACGTGCATTCTTCTGTAAATCCTTCTCATCATAACCAGTTGTAGAGAAAGAGCTTTTTAAAATACTAAAACTGTTTTACAATCAAGTCCTCAGGTCATTTTTAGACACCTGTTGTGGTTTACGTCACAATATTTGTGTTCAGGGGAAAGAACTCCACTTCCTTATTTTGACAAGACACTTTCGCGGGAAATTTACATTTCTGTGGTAGGGCAAAGAATTTTATTGTGTATCCCCTTACAGTAGCCATTGCTGTTTAACTGTCATTCAATGTGACATTTATTATATCCACAAGCTGTCAAGCTCAAATTTTAATACAATGTATGTGTACTAGTGTCGACCTGTCACACTCTCAGTCAACTAAATCACAGGCACTTGTTTTCTATCCATGGCAAGATCTACTATCCCTATATACTCGTAATATATAGGGATAGTAGAGCTTGCTATGGATAGAAAAAAAGTGCCTGTATAGCTTATTCCTTAAACATGTTGGGAAGATGATGATCCTTATAAATGGGTGTTATTAGTGTTTCCTACAGCCGAGTACAGGAGGTGTTGGCGTGGTATGGTGCCCTGCCATGTTTTCTTGATGCCCTGCCCTTTTTAGGAAAAAAGTTGGCGCCATGCCCCTTTTCCGTTGTATTTTAGAACACCCTGCCGTAATTGAATATCAGTTCTGCAATTCATCTTTTAGCAAAACCGTTTCAATTATTTCCCTTGGAACAAAATAAAAATTTTAATAGCCGACATTTTAATGAATTGAATTTCGTAATATTATGTTTGAACAGTTTTGAAGCGACAGAGTACAAATATGGTTCATGATTGATCTTATAGGGACAGCATGGATTTGTACAGGTCTTTACGAATTTAAAATGTAGACAATTTAAAAGGGATCATTTGAGTTATAATTTTACGATGCATGGGATGAACATTGATTATGTAAACAATCTGATGTTTGTTTATATTTTCTATTTATATTATTTAGTGGGTTGAGACGTCGGATTGGGTGTGAATTTACGACGGCTATATGTTGTTATATAAATAAAATTAAAGTTAAGAATATAACTGATATTATAGTTTTGAAAAGTACGAAAAATCATCAATGTTTCAATAAAAATAACAACAAAAAACACAGAATTAGATGGAAAAAAGATCAATAGCACCAGACTATGTATAGCAGTCAGGGGTACTACTTGTACAAGTAATTTTTATTAACTTGAAGAAGTAAATATTAATATACTTATATAAGTAAATTTGTAGGATACTTATACAAGTGTATTTTATTTACTTGTATAGGTAAATAATTTTTTGGCTTAGTTATGTCCCTTAGACATTCAGACTTTTTTACTTATACAAGTAAAAAAGTCATCCTATCTTCTTTTCTTGAATTCTTAGGACTTCTTTGCTCTAATAGAATTTTTAATTGTCTGTCCTTTGCAGATATCTTTACTAATCATTTAAGTGTAATTTCATGGACAATGAAAATCTCATTTGTCTGTTATCTTCAGAACACTGCTCATTTACAAACCCCAAAGGGGCAATTTTTGCGCAAATACTTAAGATCTTTGCACAATCAGTTTCTTTGTTGAATTAATTAGATGAAACATTGAACTCTAATCAAAAATTGTTAAAGGCATATTTTTACATCTCAAAACTTGAGAATTTTTGTGTGATTGTAAAATAAATATTACTTATACAAGTAAATTTTTGAAAAAATTAAGGGGAGATTATTCAAACATTATAATTAACTTATATAAGTATATTTTATTTACTTCAAGTAAATAAAGATTACTTGTTCAAGTAGTACCCCTGACTGTATAGTAAGTCTTGCTAAACAAATCTTTGAATATCCTTAAACTATTTGTACAGTTAATTGTTATGAGCCAAGGTAGCTTTGATTGTTATAAACCTGAGATCCAAAAGGTATATTTAGCACTTCTTTTGTGCATCTAAAAAGCATGCATTGCATATGCTCTTGGTCATGCAAAGTCAACTTTCACAACACATCCTTAGACAATCAATCTCAGTGATCCAGTATTAAAGTTTATAACTGGAGTTATTGGTTGAAATGAGGCAGTTGCACAATGAACATGCTCAAGATTCTATTAGCTGAGTCTAGAAGTGATAATTTTATTACAAAAAGGAATGAAATAAACAACCTTATATGCATATCTTTATTTCTTACCAATAAGTATGAAACAATGGTATATTTGGATTAAATTCCTATCCATTACAGTGCCTTTATATCTATGTAAAGAGTGCCCTAAAATTGTAGTCCTACATGCAAAGGGTGCCCTTAAAGTATAGCCAATCGTGCCAAAAGTGCCCTCTGAGAAAAAAATTACCCTGCCCTTTTCAAAAGCTGGAGGAACACTAATTATTTCCTTTTATGGGATCACATCATCACGTATCAGTCCTTTCAACAGAAAGGACGTGCTCGATCAACACCTCATTACCTGCTAACTACAAGATGTTGTGCTGGATTTATAGTTCAACAAAATGTAAATAAAAAGAAGAAAAAGGCTTAATAGGTCATCATCAGTATACCATAAGAAAAAAAAGATGAGATATGACACTATTTCTAATGTAAAAATACACTGCGGCTGTGCACTAAAAACCCCATGGAGATTTTCAAAAGCTGGCTTGAATACAGGGTTTCCAAAAAATATTTGAGCTGGACATTTTTTTTAATCGTGATTTTATTCCCTTAAGACTAAGTACAAAAAGCAATCATGGTAATCAGTTGGGCATTATATACAATTTCGCTTAAAATCTTTATTACTACCTTTTTTTTTTCATCAAATCATATGTATTTCTGATAATCTAAATCAATTTGACTATATAATTATTAATTAGATGCAAATCGTTGAAATTTAAGACATTAACTTTAGATAGACCAGCAATGTCTGGTAAAAAATAGTTTACCTGTCGCCTGAACAGTTAAATTTCAACTGTAAGACAATTAACTAACCTTGATTGTAATGAGGGGGTATTAAAGTAGGGTTTGTTTTGATAGTGCGGTACTTATTCATAATGTCACTTTTATGACCGGAAATGTGTTGCTTTTTAACGCAAAAGGTCAGGTCAATAAGATTGCATTAACATGATTAAGTACAGTTATTTTTCTTATGTTAAAATGGCAAACCTACATTATATATGTTATGTCAGGTGCAGGCCCTGCACAACAAATCAAGATAATAATTCATCAGTCAAGTCTGGACAATATGACCATTTTGGAAGCCCGGCTCAAATGCCACATATCCAGTTTCAATTTACAGCAATAAAAAACAAATATTGTATTCTTTGTAAGAATTGTTATGGGGCACACATCCATGAAATGACAATGCTTTCCCCTTTAAAAGGTTGGGGAAGATCCTCTAAAATGGGTATTATCTCCATTTATTGGTATTATATCCATGTTCAATTTCAAACACACACACACACACATACATTAAAGATGCCTTATAATTTATATGTTGTAAATATGTAAAGCTTAAATGTATTTTATTTATTTTGCCAGATATAGAAGTATGTCAGGAAGTGAAAAGACAAAAAAGAACCACAGGGACATGTACAAAGCTAAAACACCACCATGGAAAGAAACTTATAGAAAGGTACTTAAATAAGTCTTTGATCTAAATGCCTACATGTATGAGAAAATTGATATTGTGGGGCAAAAAGACTATATTCTGTGATAAATACGTCGGTCCTATTTGATGGTGTAACTTAAATAAGTTATTAGAGAAAAATAACATACATGTGTTATTACAGATACTTTTATGAGTTGTCTACTCTATTTTTATACGACCGCAAAAAAATTTTGTGGTCGTATATTGGTATGACGTTGGCGTCGTCGTCGTCGTCGTCGTCGTCGTCCGGCGTCGTCGTCCGAATACATATTGGTTTTCGCACTCTTACTTTAGTTTAAGTGAATGGATCTTTTTGAAATTTGACCATAAGGTTAAATACCACAAAAGGAAGGTTGGGATTAATTTTGGGGGTTATGGTACCAACAGTTAAGGAATTAGGGGCCAAAAAGGGGCCAAAAATGAGCATTTTCTAGTTTCCAGACAATAACTGTGGAACGGTGTATGGATCTCTCTGAAATTATACTACAAGTTTCCATACCACAAAGGGATGGTTAGGATTTGCTTTGGGGGGTTATGGCTCAAACCGTTTAGGAATTAGGGGCAAAAAAGTGGGAAAAACAAGGTTGTCCTGGTTAATGGACAAATACTTTAGTACAAAACATAATTTAAAGCAGTGTAAGGGAGATAAATCAAATACATCATTGAAATTATCTCCCTTACACTGCTTTTAAATTATGTATAAAGTAATGGTTAATGAACAATAAAGATAATCTAAAACAGTGTAAGGGAGGTAATCCAAATACAACATTTTGGTTACTTCCCTTACACTGCTTTTAAATTATGTTTAAAGAAATGCATATTTATAAAGGAAGACCAGTAAAAATATCTGCAAATGTTTTCATCTTTTTTTTTTACAAAAAAATCCATATGAAAGATTTGACACTATATTTTTATTAATTCTATTATAAAATAGATTAAGTTAGCACTATGGTAAATTTAAATGGGTAATTATGGTTGCCAACTCCATTGGAAATTTGAATTGAGATTATGACCATATCTTGAGGGAAAGAATTTTTTTGGGGGAAAAAGGGGGGGGGGGGATAAAAAGAAATTGTGGGGGGCCAATTTTTTCTCATTTCAGATTTCAGAAATTAAAAAGAATTATTCTTCAAATATTATTTTTTTTTCAAATTTCAAATATTGAAAAATTTCAAGAAGTAATCTTTAATTGCACAGTATGGCGCATTAGATTTGTAAAATCTTTGATCACATTTATTTATTTGTTATGCCAAATCTAACAGTGTATTTAGATTTTTAATTTTGGGTCCAGTTTTCAAATTGGTCTACATTAATGTCCAAAGGGTCCAAAATTAAACTTTGTTTGATTTTAGCAAAAATTGAATATATGAGGTTCTTTGATATGCTGAATCTAAACATGTATTTAGATTTTTGATTTTTGGCCCAGTTTTCAAGTTGGTCCGAATTGGGGTCCAAAATTAAACTTTGTTTGATTTCAACAAAAATTGAATATATGGGGTTCTTTGATATGCTGAATCTAACCATGTATTTAGATTTTTTATTTGTGGACCCCGTTATCTAATTGGGTCATATTGAGGTCAAAAGGGTCCAAAATTAAACTTTGTTTGATTTCATCTAAAATTGAATTATTGGGGTTCTTTGATATTCCAAATCTAACCGTGTATTTAGGTTTTTAATTTTGGGTCCTGTTTTTTAAATTGGTCTACATTGAGGTCCAAAGGGTCCAAAATTAAACTTAGTTTGATTTTGACAAAAATTGAATTCTTTGGGTTCTTTGATTTGCTGAATCTAAACATGTGTTTAGATTTTTGATTATGGGCCCAGTTTTCAAGTTGGTCCAAGATAGGGTCCAGTATTTAAACTTTGTTTGATTTCAACAAAAATTGAATATATGGGGTTCTTTGATATGCTGAATCTAAACATATATTTAGATTTTTGATTATGGGCCCAGTTTTCAAGTTGGTCCAAATTGGGGTCCAAAATTAAACTTTGTTTGATTTCAACAAAAATTGAATATATGAGGTTCTTTGATATGCTGAATCTAACCATGTATTTAGATTTTTTATTTGTAGGCCCCGCTATCAAATTGGTTCATATTGAGGTCAAAAGGGTCCAAAATTAAACTTTGTTTGATTTCATCGAAAATTGAATTATTGGGGTTCTTTGATATGCCAAATCTAACCGTATTTTTAATTTGGGTCCCGTTTTTTAAATTGGTCTTCATTGAGGTCCAAAGGGTCCAAAATTAAACTTTGTTTGATTTTAACAAAAATTGAATTCTTGGGGTTCTTTGATATGCTGAATCTAAACATGTGTTTAGATTTTTGATTATGGGCCCAGTTTTCAAGTTGGTCCAAGTTGGGGTCAAAAATTAAACTTTTTTTTGAATTCAACAAAAATTGAATATATGGGGTTCTTTGATATGCTGAATCTAACCATGAATTTAGATTTTTTATTTGTGGGCCCCGCTATCAAATTGGTTCATATTGAGGTCAAAAGGGTCCAAAATTAAACTTTGTTTGATTTCATCAAAAATTGAATTATTGGGGTTCTTTGATATTCCAAATCTAACCGTGTATTTAGATTTTTAATTTTAAGTCCCGTTTTTTAAATTGGTCTACATTAAGGTCCAAAGGGTCCAAAATTAAACTTAGTTTGATTTTAGCAAAAATTGAATTCTTGGGGTTCTTTGATATGCTGAATCTAAACATGTGTTTAGATTTTTGATTATGGGCCCAGTTTTCAAGTTTGACCAAGTTGGGGTCCAAAATTAAACTTTGTTTGATTTTAACAAAAATTGAATATATGGGGTTCTTTGATATGCTGAATCTAACCATGTATTTTGATTTTGGACATTGGACCATAATAGGTAAATTAAAAAAATTCAAGTTCTTAGACCACATTCTTTCTGTGTCAGAAACCTATGCTGTGTCAAATATTTAATAACAATCCAAATTCAGAGCTGTATCAAGCTTGAATGTTGTGTCCATACTTGCCCCAACTGTTCAGGGTTCGACCTCTGCGGTCGTATCAAGCTGCGCCCCAGCGAAGCATTTTATTCTTAATCTGTAGTAACATATGTTTGTTATTAGTCAAATATATCATATTTTTATTTTTAGTGGGCACTTGGGAATTCTTGAAACTTTGCGCATTAACTTAATACATAACCTTAATAACTAGTTTTCCTATTCAATTAATACATTTTTGATCAAGCATGGTAAATCAATGAGACAAGGCTTTTAAGGGATAAACTAAGCTGTAATAACAAGGCTTAGTTATTACAGGCATATAACTAATTATTATATGAGACACTTGGAATCTTGCACAGAACATCATTACATGCTCTGATCATTATTTCTTACAATAAATTAAAATAGATTGTGACAATGCCTGAGCAAAGGCATTGAAGAGATGTAGAGAAGCTGTAATAACAACCTTTAGTTATTACAGGCATATATTTTCTGTAATAACATAGGTGTACTATGCATGATTGACAACTATGAACTGTTATATCTTTCTAAAGTTTAGTATACACAAAGACAATGATAATATCAATAGAACTTGTATACAATTTAACAAAATAAGAAATGTATATTGCCCCTTTGAAACATGTAAAATACATATGTTATCACAGTTTTTTTGATTATTTAGTCCACAATAACAAATGTATGTTATTTTTCTCTAATAACTTATTAAAGTTACAACCTTGGCTGTTAATAGAAACGTAGCAAAGCCAATCTGACCAAACCAAAATATTTGCCTGACATAGAAAGGCAGGCAGCTTCCAGACCTTTGCTCATTCCATTTAATGGGTTGGGTCTAAATGAAAAAAATACTTGTGTTTAGGGATTCCTTACTTGCTGTATTTTTTATGCCTACCCTAAAGTTTTTATTGGCATTCTTTTTTTTGTAGTGAATCGTGACACAACTCTCTTACTTTGACAGTTTTGTTTCAGCACAATTTAAGAACAAACTAAAAAAAAAACCAGCTGAATTACAAATTATTTGCAAGATTGATATTAAAATAAAAACAAGTATCAAAAAAACAAAAGACTCAAAGTCACACTTTAAGAGTAAATAAGTTATTGAAGGCTAGTTCAAAGACCAATTGTAGCTAAAATTAATAGACCATCCTTTTCCAAAATTGAATATCAATCAAAACACACTCATTTTTAAGAAACACTTTCGAACTGAAAAATGCCAAGAGTCTTAATGCTTTGGAGAAGTTACAAATGCTATGGAAAAATACCAGAAATATGCATTATAAAACCTTATATTATCAGGCTATTATCCATAAAGTTTTCACTACTTTTTAATACTTTTGCAAACATTTTGGGTACAAGCATACTTCATGCTAAGTGGCTTTGCCTACAGCATAACAAATAAACATTAGAGAAAAGAACAGACAGTCATAAAACCTTTTATGTACCAAAATTGATAAATTTTCTCACAAAACTAACAAATGAATCAATGATTTTACTTTTAATTGACTCTGAAGGCTAGGCCTCTCTGTCATAAAAACTTAACTAGCTCAGTACTCGGAGCTCAAATTTGGTGCTCAAAACACCAAATCCAATATTTTGATTGGTTGATTTCCGAGTCGCAGTTCGATAATTGAACTAGAAAGTTTTATGGCAGTAAGCCCCAGCCAATCTGTTATTCACATTGTAAAAGGGAGATAACTACATATTGTACTCAATTCAGAGATGTTTGGACAGATTGAGACAAAGCAGGTCGAAGTTTCAAGACCGATTCCGTGGTATAAACAGTAAAGAAATGGAGAAGGATGCTAATGATAACTTTATACATGAGTTAATGAGAGAGGAACTGAAGATAATACAAAGGTCATTTCAGGGGTCACCTACATTTGATGATAATGAGGTAAACGTATTTATTTCAAGGATTTCATTGAATAAGGCTACAGATGAATAAGATATTTGTAACTTTCTTTTACAGATGTTTATTGAATAGCCATTAACTCAGTTTTTCTTGAATATTTTCGTTTTTTAACATGTTTAAGTAATGGTTGAGGAATAATAAGAGATGTGGGTATTATGATAGCAACTTAATGATAACACAAATGACCAAACGACAGAAGTCAACATGCAGTATTCAACAAATATGTTAATCTCTAAATCGTTTCGAGTTTTAAAATAAATCCCCAAAATATAAATAGAAACTTTAAAAGATTTTCATTAACAAACAACAAAAAACATTATAATATGACAAAAGAAAATCTTAAACATCACTGATGATATTCCTGATATGGGATGTGCACATTTATATGTAGTACAGATAAATGCTTGTATTAAACATCTACATAAAAACATAAAACCAAATTTACTTTTTTGTGTAATTACATTGTATGTATATATGTGAAATGAGCTAGATTCAAAACCATTTACCTCTTTATAGATGGAAACAGACAAATTAGACTTTGATATTGATGAATATGTAACATATTTTGATGACATTCAACAAGAGCTGATTCAAGAAGGTATGTGGAATATTGTGGCATTTATGTGCGAAATTTTTGTATCTAGGGTTTTCATAACACAGAACAAGAGGTTAACTTCTTTTGATTAAATCTATTAAATATCACTACAAATTTGGTTAAAAGGTCACAAAGTTTACAGGTTATTGGAGCTAAGTATTGATAAGATCAACAAACAGACAGTTTTTTTTTACAGAGCATCGTCTGCAGAAAGTTAAATGGTGGTTGGAATCAAGTTCAGCTTGTCACTGATAATTTTTTTTTTTGAAATGTGAAAGGAACTTATATATGTACTTCATTACTGATTATCAAAAGTATGTTGAAATGTAATAAGGCACTTGTTACATTGATTGCACACAAATTCTTTGATGTTTAGCAAACAACAATCAATCAAAATTATACTATACAGAAACCAATTATTAAAATAAACATTGTACAACCTTTTCACAAATGTTTGTACTGTAGACTCCACCTCATCGGATATCGGCTAAATGAATATATCGGCTATTGTAATATTATTTGAAAACACCAAACCCTTCCCTTTATGTTGAATGTTAATTTTATCGTATAATCGAATATCGGATAAAAGAATATATCGGCAATTGGATAAGAATATTCAGAAAATTTTGTTCAAAACCATGCACAATCGGATATTTTCAATGACTTTCTGACAGGAAATGTATTGGTGAAATGGAATGGAAAATTGTGACTTATTGTGCTGGGAAGCATTTTGATATCCAATTTTTTTTTAATTCTGCTTGGTTGATTACAGAACTTACCAATTTTTTTTAATTCCCTATACTATAAGCCAACAGTATTATCTATTGAAAATTTATAAAGTTTCTTCTATTTTTTGTTTTGCAGAGAAAAGAATGATTGACGAATATGAAAATAGTTTACAACAAGAAGAGAAATCATTATGTACAGCCATAGAGAGACTATGTACAGATGAAGTTATATGTCCTCTTTGTCAAAAGTTAGTTTGTCATTAATAGTATGTCACATATATATTTCTCGAATTTTTACCTGATTTATCCTTTTCCTGACCTGTTGATTATTTTTATTCAATCAACGTGTGGTTCCTTTCATCTCAGTTTTTCAATGGTCAAAGTTTAATTAATTATCTCAAGATGGATACTGCTCTAGAGATTTTTGGGCTTTTGAACAAACATGTATGCAATCATATTGTCAATAATGTTTCTAACTATACAAAATTGTTTAAAAGTATTTTATTGAATCATATTTTACATTTTCATTTATCTGATTCTTTGGCAATTTAACCCTTTCTGAACCCATTGTTTAAAAAAATTTAATCAACATGTGGTTACCAATGATCTTAGTAGATTGTTGCAGGGACAGTCTATACTAACAGGACTGGTCACTTATAACAATATCTATCAAATTTTGCAGACAGAACTGTGCCGTTGGTGATGTCACGTGACTTCATAGCAAATCATTTCACATTTACAAAGTGTTCTTCATAACTATATGTTCAAGTTTAATGAAGTAACATTTTTATGAAATAGTATACATTTTGTCATTGCAAAATGCTGTTTTTGAAAAGATTTCACGGATAGTTTTTTAAATATAGATCTTTGAACTTTGAGGTATTTTGTTAATAAATTTCGAGTGGCCGCCATCTTGTTCGATATGTAATCCCCCTTTGTACGACTGCAGTGTTCTTCAAAACGATATGTCTCAGTTTAATAATTTGACATTCTTTTAAAATCTTATATTTTTTGTCATGGTAAATGGCTATTAATCAGATTTTATACATTTGTATTAACAATTATTAAATTACAATGTACCTTGAAATACGCAAATAACTACTAGCTTCTTATATCAGAGATACGAAACTAAGTTTATTGTTGGGTGATAGCTTTACACGGGAGGCTTAGTTCTTAATCAAAATCAATAGAGACGAGTCCTATTAGTATAGACTGTCCCTGATTGTTGGATGAGTTAAAAGGTCATAACCTTTATCAGCTCTCCTGATGAATCAAAATGTGCTTACATGTGTTAGAGATATTGACAATGTTATAAAAACTTTTACTACAGGTAAATAGTTAGATGTTCAGAAATTTTTGTTGAAGTTGTTTACTCTTATATATAAATATATTTTTCATTCAATGCAATGTTCTTGAATAAAAGTGATATTTTATTCATGCTGGCTTCCATTTGACCCAGAGATGCATAAATGAAGTGTTTGCTCATCAATGTCATGTATGACGTAGAAATCAGTAATATGGAGGCACTCTAAGGGGATATTTGTATATCAATAATGAAAATTTATTTGATAATCAATAGAGAAACAGATTCTTACTCATGGATTACCACATTTATCCAATTTTGATAGTTAAATTATTGAAATTTAAAGTCCATGCCTTTTTTAGCTCACCTGACCTGAAGGGTCAAGTGAGCTTTTCTCATCACTTGGCGTCCGTCGTCCGTCGTCGTCGTCTGTCGTCGTTAGCTTTTTACAAAAATCTTCTCCTCTGAAACCACTGGGCCAAATTTAACCAAACTTGGCCACAATCATCATTAGGGTATCTAGTTTTAAAAATGTGTCCGATGACCCTGGCAACTAACCAAGATGGCCGCCATGGCTAAAAATAGAACATGGGGGTAAAATGTAGATTTTGGCTTATATCTCTGAAACCAAAGCATTTAGAGTAAATCTGACATAGGGTAAAACTGATTATCAGGTCAAGATCTATCTGCCCTGAAATTTTCAGACAAATCTGACAACCTGTTGTTAGGTTGCTGCCCCTGAATTGGTAATTTTAAGGAAATTTTGCAGTTTTTGGTTATTATCTTGAATATTATTATAGATAGAGATAAACTGTAAACAGCAATAATGTTCAGCAAAGTAAGATCTACAAATAAGTTGTCATGACCAAAATTGTCAGTCGTCCCCTTTAGGAGTTATTGCCCTTAACAGTCAATTTTTAACAATTTTTCGTAAATTTTTGTAATCTTTTACAAAAATCTTCTTCTCTGAAACTACTGAGACAAATTTAACCATACTTGGCCATAATCATTATTAGGGTATCTAGTTTAAAAAATTTGTCCGATGACCCCGACTTCCAACCATCATGGCCAACTTAGTTAAAAATAGAACATAGGGGTAAAATGCAGTTTTTAGCTCACCTGACCTGAAAGGTCAAGTGAGCTTTTCTCATCACTTTGCGTCCGTCGTCCGTCGTCCGTAAACTTTTACAAAAATCTTCTCCTCTGAAACTACTGGGCCAAATTTGACCAAACTTGGCCACAATCATCATTGGGGTATCTAGTTTAAAAAATGTGTCCGATGACCCCGCCAACCAACCAAGATGGCCGCCATGGCTAAAAATAGAACATGGGGGTAAAATGTAGATTTTGGCTTATATCTCTGAAACCAAAGCATTTAGAGCAAATCTGACATGGGGTAAAATTGTTTATCAGGTCAAGATCTATCTGCCCTGAAATTTTCAGATGAATCGGACAACCCGTTGTTGGGTTGCTGCCCCTAAATTGGTAATTTTAAGGAAATTTTGCTGTTTTTGGTTATTATCTTGAATATTATTATAGATAGAGATAAACTGTAAACAACAATAATGTTCAGCAAAGTATGATCTACAAATAAGTCAACTTGACCAAAATGGTCAGTTGACCCCTTAAGGAGTTATTGCCCTTTATAGTCAATTTTTAACCATTTTTCGTAAATTTTTGTAATCTTTTACAAAAATCTTCTCCTCTGAAACTACTAAGACAAATTTAACCAAAATTGTCCACAATCATCATTAGGGTATCTAGTTTAAAAAATGTGTCCGATGACCCTGCCCGCAAACCAAGATGGCCGACATGGCAAAAAAATAATACATAGGGTAAAATGCAGTTTTTGGCTCATATCTCTGAAACCAAAGCATTTAGAGCAAATCTGATGGTATAAAATTGTTCATTAGGTCAAGATCTATCTGCCCTGAAATTTTCAGATGAATCGGACAACCCGTTGTTGGGTTGCTGCCCCTGAATTGGTAATTTTAAGAAAATTTTGCAGCTTTTGGTTATTATCTTGAATATTATTATAGATAGAGATAAACTGTAAACAGCAATAATGTACAGCAAAGTTAGATCTACAAATAAGTCAACATGACCAAAATTGTCAATTGACCCCTGAAGGAGTTATTGCCCTTTATAGTCAATTTTTTACAATTTTCATAAATTTTGTAAATTTTTGTAAATTTTTACAAAATATTTTCCACTGCAACTACTGGGCCAAGTTCATTATAGATAGAGATAATAGTAAGGAGCAAGAATGTTCAGTAAAGTAAGATCTACAAACACATCACCATCACCAAAACACAATTTTGTCATGAATCCATCTGTGTCCATTGTTTAATATGCACATAGACCAAGGTGAGCGACACAGGCTCTTTAGAGCCTCTAGTTGGTTTATATCTCTGAAACTAAAGTATTTAGAGCAAATCTGACAGGTGGCAAAAATGTTCATCAGATTTAGATTTATTTGCCCTGAAATTTCAGACAAATCCAACGACCCGTTGTTGGGTTGCTGCCCCTGAGTTAGTAATTTTACAAAAATTTTGCAGTTTTTTGTTATTATCTTAGATATCATTATAATATCTAATATCTAATACTATTAATTATGATTTTAACCTTATTTTACATGATTTCCAAAGCATCAGTAAATACAGGTGAGCGACACAGGCTCTTCAGAGCCTCTAGTTTTATCTTGTTTGGATAAATACGATAATCCACTTGTACCAATTTAAGAATTTATAGTTCTCAAACCATTATGAAATGATTCTATGTGATTTAAGCTTTATGACAAAAGATATTGTCATGAGTGTAGTGACCTCACTTTGATAAAGATACAATGTGAGTCATTTTAAATGGCATTCATTTAATTTAGTCCCATGATGATGATGAGGCTAAATAAAAGTATATGTGTAGTTCCAGTTACCCAACCGACCCTAGTTTAAACCCCCGACCCTAGAACTTTTTTTTCATTTCTGAGAAATAAATTTTCAAACGATCAAATTTTGAGGAATGTGAATTTAAATAATTAAATTCACAGACTTCTATCATCTGAATTTCCATTAGAAGTATCCACTATGGCTAAAATGCAACAAATTCTCAACAGAATGCAACAAAATTAACTAAAAACATAACATATTTGTTTATTTTACAACCAAACACATGGAAAATGGCGAACTTCCGGTAGGGATGTGTATAATACCGGAATTTGACTCGGTAAACACACGATTTTTTTCCGGATTTTGACAATCCAAAATAAAAATTGAAAAAAGATAAAATAAAATTGCCGACCTACCAACCCTATTTTTTTACGGATGTAACTGGAACCACACATATACTTTTATTTTGCCTGAACAGTGGGAAGGAAGGTTTTAACAAAAACTTAGAAAATAGTTAACTTTTGGAAGCATGAACCAAAAGATAAGGATAAATGAGGCAGCAATCGAACAACACCACTAACCAAAAGATGTCTAGAGTTTCTTGTCTATATATCTTGTTAAACATAATAATTATAGCCAAACTAGATAAAATATTGAACAAAATTACTGCAAACTCACTAGTATTTTTTTCTCTCCAGAAGTCAGTTGTTACAGAACAAAGGTGTAATATTTTGCCGATGTGGGTTGAGAATAGATACAGAGGTAAGCAAAACTTTTGAGTTATTAGAATTTTTGACTCAAGTCTTTTTGAACTTATTGTGACTTGACTGTATGGGTTGTTTTCCACCTATTGCAATTTATTCAAAATTCTGTCCAAATAGCCATTTGATTTATAAAACCACTGTTCAACTGGTCAGAAATTTGAACAAACTGCTGTAGAAAACTACAGTCAAGTCATGAAAGTGCCAGGTGATAAAATAAAGCATACTTACAACCCTATAAGACTTAAATTTCCACTTCAGTGATATTATGAAAAATCAGTCTAACCATTTGTATACAAATTGTATTGGAATTGTCATGCTAAAGGTGATAGGTAGTAATTTTGAAATGCTATGAAAATTTCCAGATTAAGCTTTCATACAATTTTAAAAAGTCTTCTATATTCGTAAGAATCAAACATCATTTGAATTAAAACATCTTATATTCAGTAAAATATGTGTGAAATTACAATATGTTGTTTATAAGTTTCCATGGGAGATAACCTAAAATTATTGTTCTTTTGAATATAGAAGACTTTTCAAAAGAAAAATTTATTATCTCCCATGGAAACTTCCTAACAACATATTGCAATTTCACACATATTTTACTTAATATAAGATGTTTTAATTCAAATGATGTAATATTCTTATGTATATAGAAGACTCTTATCAAGAAAATTTGTATGAAAACTTAGTTTGGACATTTTTACAGAAATTCAAAATTACTATCTAATATCACCTTTAGCATAACAATTCCTTTAAAATTTGTATACAAATGGTTAGACTGATTTTTCATAATATCATTGAAGTGGAATTAAAGTCTTCTATGATTGTAAGTATGCTTTATTATACCCCACGCAACGAGTTGCGGAGGGTATAATGTTTTTGACCCGTCCATCCGTCAGTCCGTCAGTCCTGTTTCTTGTCATCGCAACTCCTCTCAAACCACACAACAGAATTTCATGAAACCTTTTTAGATAATAAGGACATACTATGTAGTTGTGCATATCGACAGGAAATTGAGATTCAATTTTTTTTCTAGGAGTTACGCCCCTTTGAACTTATTTACTTTAATGTACTACTGCAACAGTTTGTCATCACAACTCCTCTGAAACCACACAACAGAATTTCATGAAACTTTGTAGATAATAAGGACATACTATGTAGATGTGCATATCGACAGGAAATTATGATTCAATTTTTTTTTCTTATACAATTTTTTTTTCTTGCACATACATTTTTGTATTTTATTTCTCCAATGACAATGTGAGGACGTGGGGTATGTGAGCGCACTCACTAAGGTTCTTTAATTTTATTACCTTACACTATCATGACTTGACCGTGGTTTTCTACAGCAATTTGTTCAAATTTCTGACCAGTTGAACAGTTTGGTTTTATAAAACAAATTGCAATTTGGTCAGAATTTTGAATAAGTTGCAATAGGTGGAGAGCAACACTTGCAGGCAAGTCACAGTAATTAGTGAAGTTAAGAATAGTTGCAAAAACAAGTCATGTTAGCTATAGGCAATGTTTTAAAACATTTGGTTTTATTCTTTAAAAAAATTTGAAGATACCGGAGTCTACTGTACCAAATATCATTAGCCCAGGAAGGTTTGACATCAACATCTTATTCAAAGAAATGAGAAAGAATTCACTTCAGTCCACACAAAATAACACAGAAAACTTTGTGCAACACAAACCTTACTACATGTATAATAAGGGGATGAACTTATATGCTATGAAAGGACACATAAAGGATAAAAATGTCCTTTTCGACAAGTGACACATGTCCCCTTAAAAGCTAAAGATACTAGTCTGCAAGTGCTAGTTATGCAGGTTATCATCAGCTTGGGAATGAATCTTTGTTTTTATTTAAAAGTGACAAGAAATAGATTGCAGATAAGAATAAATAACACTTTCATAAATTGAGATATTGATCAAACTCGAGCTCTTAGATTTGAGATTCCCTTGTGGTCTTGTGGTAGTGTGTTGGACTCCATGTGCTGAAAATGAAATGACAAATGCTGACTGACTGATTCTTTTTGAATGAATTAGTGTTGAAGATCATTAATGACCCATCCAATAAACGAATTACCTGTAACAACAGATTATGACACCTGTTTGTACCAGTTGATTAGCTTGGGGTCGTAAACAAAGTCTTAAACTTGTAGCCAGGTAAAATATCGTACAATTTATTTTTTTATCTTTACCAATTTAAATGATGATCGATAATATTACCATTACAGTCAAGAAATGAAAATTTTGATATAGGAAAATGTTGGCGCCAGAAATATTGCCAGCAGGCTTATTTTGTCGCTAGATGAAAAAAAAATCGCAATTAGCGACATTGGCAAAGCCCAGTGCGGACCTTGCTTCCTGTGGACTGTTACCTTGTGAACTAGCATGTATACATATCCAGCTTAGTGTGATTATCCTAGCACAAAGCAGGGATCGATATTCATATTACATTAACATGTTCTCATCCTGAATATGGATTTTATTTGCCGCTGGACGTGAAACATATGCACAGCCACCTCAGATTTGAGAAATTTTTATAGTTTAATTTTTTTGTGTGACTGTTAATGTTTGCTTATTTTAATAGAATCAAGATGCACTTACTTTAGCTTTTTGCAAGCTCAGTACTTAAACCGTAAGGTGGTTTAGCCAGGATGTGAAAAACTGTGAAATTATTTCTCAGGTGATATTTCAATTATGTGCTGTGTTTCCTTTTGTAGCAAGACTGCATAACCTTAGCTAATGTTAAATCTTCCTTAGAAGAAGGTATAAACCAGCATAGTACTACCTGTGAAGGAGAGTCTGTGTTTTCTTCTGTTCAGGATTATGGCAGTAACAACTTACTCATGTCCTGTAAGGTTTGTACTTTTGTTTAATTTGATTACACACATCTACCGTAAGCTGTGTGTATGCCTCATCTAGGAGAGTAGGGTGGCATTATGCTATAAGACCATCTGTTCTTTCCTCAGCAGAGAATCTTTTTAGAGTAAAAAAATTGGTGTAAGGTAGTTCTCCAAGACATTATAAAAAAAACACATGGGGTGTACTATTAAAAACTACTGCCAAATAGTTCTTTCCTACATTTCACAGTCCACTAATCAGGTTAAAAGAGAGGTTACATGATAGATACTAAAGGGACATTCAAAGTGTTAAGTCAAAGATCTAACAATGCAAAATACGAAAATGTCCAATAGACAAACAACAGTCTCTTGAAACACAACATAGAAAACTAAAGACGGAGCAACTCAAACCCCACTCAAAACGGTGATTTTAAAGCTTCGGTTAAAAAAAGAGTTTACAATGAGGTTGTGGTCACAATTAGATGGTGAATTTTCTCAATAACCATGTCTTAGTTTCTCTGCTGTGTTTTTGCATGGTTTGTTTGCCTTTTTAATGTTTATCTTATGAGAAACATTCTTATTAATATAACAATAATACATTTTACTCTAGGAATTTGCTTTGACCAAAAGTATGTAAAGTGGTCTAAATAGTTCATCTACAGTGATCCCTAGCATATCAACACTGAAGTTGTGAGTTTGAAACCTGCTTAAGCAAGGTGCATTTGACTCCGATTTTAATAATTACTAGGATTGCTTGTTTTCCTGCCGAAGGTCAAGATTCTCTCAGGGTACACACTGCTTCCTACTTCAATAAAAACTTGCTGCCACATGGTATAGCCAATAGCGCTGAAAGTGACTTAAACACCAACAATCAATCAATCAATGCATCTGTTAAAAACATTTAAACCTACAATTTATTATCTTGTTCTTTCAGACCTGTGATTGGATGTACATTGTGATTTAGACCAGAAGTAACTGGATTGAAGACGTGATCAAATACCAAAAGGATATTATTGGAGGCACTGGCTTCTTACAATGTTTTCTCTGTTTAGAAACAAGAAGCAAAAAGCAAGATAACTCAACTGGTTCTTGTTCTAGAAAGCTCCTGTGTGTACTGAAAAAATGTGAAACATTGAGAATATGGGAAAATATATAAAATGCTAAACTTGATAATGAAATATTCTATGTTTGTGTGCAGGTACATGAATGTGATTGTAAATAAATTGTTATGTTAAAGTATTTTATCATTTAAATTTACAAAAGGATAACAGGAAACACCAAAAACATTGGACAGAACAGCAGACTAAACAACGCACTAACACCCAACTTCTCTGAAAATAAGATGATTGCTTACTAACACTTCATTTTAACTGTTGTTGATACAGAATTCAGGCTTGTATAGTCCACGGTTATATTCTCCAAAATTGAACCTGGCAGACAGGGGTGGGGATTAAGCAAGAAATAAGAGAAAAATTTGATTTTGCGAGGTTTGTTTACGTTCCGCCATGTTTGTTATTTAAATTGTAGAGGGCACTCATCATTTTCAAAACTAATAATTTACCTAATCCATATTAATATGCAATTTTTATTCAATATCTAATATAAACTGATAAATTTCAAAATTAAATGCTTCATTACAAATTTCGGGTTTCTTTTTATTGCATTGCATAAAATAATCCGCTTGAATTTAACGGAACGAAAAAAGCATATAAGTCAGCAGAGAACCAGCTTATGCATAACTATGTTTCTCTAATTCTTAGCCAATTTATCCCTTTATGCACCCATTGTATAAAAAAAATTTAATCAACGTGTGGTTCGTTTTATCTCAGTTCTTCATTGGTTAAAATCCGATTATGACGTCGAATTTACTTGCTTTCCTCTGAATTTCCTATTGTGAAAAAGAAAGAACACATCTTTTTGCAGATCATTCGAAAAGAAGGAATAAACTTGCCTGCGTATTGTTTGAAAATCATTAGAGAAACAGATTCCACCACCAAATCTCGTGTAATACGATATTTATCCACTCTCGGCAGTTAAATTTTAAATATTTAAAACGCTCGGCAAGCCTCGCGTTTTAAATTTGAAAATTTAACTGTCTCGAGTGGATAAATATCGTATCACACTCGATGCAGTGGTAGAATCTATATATAAACTACCAAGCGTTATCTTTTATTTGTTCCGTTTTTGGTGTTTCATACTGATGCATGTGTTTTGTTTTAGCTTAAGATCCTTCAAACATTAATGTGATGGATATGTTAAACATTATTTTACTTACAGATTGAACTGTTTTACTTTCAAAGTCATATTCTAGTGATATCTATTATTGTACGGATTTTCCATACACTACATGCTATTTGAACTTCCGGTTGAATCAAAAACAAGTTTCTCAATTTGTTTTTAAAGGCAGTGCTTTAATGCCTTTCTAGTTGCCGTGTTAATCTTTCTTTCCGCGATATCCAACTTATCTACGTGGGGGGTCATTAGGCTCCAAGTAGATCCGGAAAATGTTGATTCTCTCTTCTTCTTATTGTGATATAAAATGTTTTTTGTTTCATTTCATTTACATTGGGAAATAGATAAACGATCATTGTGTTTTGTTAGCTTTAAAAACTTTTGATATATTTGTATTTTACATTATAAGCAGTCAACCGATTGACAAACAAGAATTATTTGAATTCCGTGTGGAAAGAGGTCGGGTTAATTTCGAGTGTTATCTGCAATCTAGATGTTTATAAATCATTTCAGTCGTTGATATAATAATTAAAGGTCGACTGAACATGAATTATATTATACAATTTAAAGCGCATTTATGTTTATGCACGCGAACCCGTCTAACGTAATTGTTATTTCGCGGTTATATAAAGTAGCAAATTATCGTTCCTGAATAGGTGGCGCCGTGGTAGCCGATCCTGTTCTTCAACTTCCGGTTTCTGCACTGTGCAACTATTACAGTTGCATTTTTAATTAACGATGCCAAGTACATGTTGTTGTGTACCTGGATGTCATTTAAGAGGAGGACATGCATTTCCAAATGACTTAAAAAGAATGAAAAGTTGGATCAACGCCATGGCCCATACGCAGATTGGACAAGAACAAGATGAAATCGTGGAGTCCATCTCAATCAGCTGTTGTTTGCAAGGCACATTTTACTGAAAAAGACTACGTGCAGGAAACTATTCATGGTAAAACTCTATTTTCTTTTTAAAATATATAGTTATATATGTAATCGCCATGCGAATAAACCAAAGTTTGTTTACAACCGCAATTATCGTTTTAGAATAAAAGGGGGTGGTTAATTCAAGACGTCATAATTTTTTGGATTACGATTCAATGTGATCTGTTTGAGATTTTTTGGTGCTTGCTACAATTATAATGATTTCTTACAAGAGGTATATCATACTGAGAATTATTTTAGCAGTAATTATGCTAATGTAGTAATGACAGGAATGCATAAGCTATGCCTCATAGACTTTCTTGAAAAATATCAATGACAATGTTAACAGGAACAAAACAATGACATGCTCTCATCTATAGTATAGTTATTTAGGTACAAACAATGTATGTTTGTTGCATACGTCTCTCATTGTTTGTCCTCATTAGAGCTTATGTTTGTATGTTTGTCAATGCCGAATCAAAATAAAGTTTTACTTACTTACTTACTTACTTTGGATTTACATAACATACATTTTGATGTACATTGATTCAGGCTAACATAGTTTTATCCAGATTGTAATGAATAAATCTAGTTAATATTTTGCCAGGTAGTACAAAGTATGCATTGCTAATGGAAGTTCATTTAATTATCAAACAACTAATGTTTTATAACCTTTTTCAGGGCGCAAACCCACCATACAGAGACTTAAGTCTACTGCCATTCCCAGCCTATTTTCCTGGATTAAGCAAGAGACTGAATCGTCCGCAAAAAGAAAAATCAGGGCAGTTTCCTGTGAAAACAAAAGAACTAAACTTGATGAATATTGTAGTAGAAATCTAGAGGAAAGTTTTGATTGTAAAGTTGGTTTTCCTGAAGAAGTCATTCATACTGCAGACAGGATTTATGACTGTCCACCACCAACTGCCGAGCTCAGCCTAAATGTTGAGCTTCACAGATGGAATTACGCAAACACCATCAATGCCTATATTTTCAGCAGAGAATTTTGAAATGAAGACACGTGACACAGCCATGCATTTTTATACCTGTTTAGAGTTGTACATGTATACTAAATTTTTATTTGTTTTCACCACACTTGGTCCAGCAGCACATTGTTTGAGATACATATATTTTCAAATTGATAGGGTGTCATTTGAAAATCAGTTTTTTTATGACTTTGATGAAATTGAGGCATTATACAACCAACTTTGAACTGTCTAGATTCTAGATTGAAACTAGTGTTAAGAATATTGTGTAAACATGGATTGTTTTTATGTCTAAACAGTGGCGTGAGGCTAACACTTGGCCATTAAGTGGTTTAGTCAGGTATTTTTCGCCATCCAACTTCAAATTAAAGTTTCCTACAACTTGGATTATTATTGACAGCACAGAATATCCCGTGATAAAACCTAAAGCTCCTAGAGCTCAGGCAACCTTTTCATCATATAAAAACAGAAACACTGAAAATACTTGTATGTTCGACACCTGGTGGTTTAGTCAACTATGTCTCTAATGCATATGTTGGTTGTACCAGTGACTGTGAAATAGTTGAAAGATGTAGAATAGTTCAATTATGTGATCCAGGTGACAGTGTGATGGCAGACAAAGGTTTAAATGTGCAAGATTTGTTTGCTCACTTTTATCAAAAAAAGAAACAGAATTAGTTCCAAAACTCTTATACGGGATAGAAAAGTCTCCAATTAACACGTGCACATAGAGCTAATTATTGGACTTGGCAAAACATACAAAATTCTAATAAATCCTATGAATGGAACTGAAACAAAAGTTTCATCTGAAATAACATTTAGTTGTTTAATGTTGTGTAATTTTAGAACTTGTATTGTGCCAAAGGATGCATAAATAAAAGTGACACAATGAAGTTTGTTCTGATATATATATATAAATATTATTTACAATTACATGCACATGTAAATTGTAATGCATATAAAAATAAGGAGATGTGGTATGATATTCAGTGAGTTTATCGAACCAAAGTGCATAAGAAATGGGTTATGCAGTTACAGGTGTTACTGTCACCGTACAATCTCCAACAATTAGAAAAACTTGTGCCGTGTAAAAAATTTCAGAGATCTTACAACTAAGTTTGACTTTGGTGAATTGTTTATATCTGTTGATGTAAATATAAAAAAGAAGATGTGGTATGATTGCCAATGAGACAACTCTCCACAAGAGACCAAATGACACAGAAATTAACAGCTATAGGTCACAGTATGGCCTTCAATAATGAGCAAAGCACATACCGCACAGTGAGCTATAAAAGGCCCCGAAATGACAATGTAAAACAATTCAAACAAGAAAACTAACGGCCTAATTTATGTACAAAAAATGAACAAATAACAAACGACAACCACTGAATTACAGGCTCCTGACTTGGGACAGGCACATACATGTACATACAGAATGAGGCGGGGTTAAACATGTTAGCGGGATCCCAACCCACCCCTTAACCTGGGACAGTGGTGTAACAGTACAATATGAGAACGAACGATAAAAAATCAGTTGTAAGAGGCTTAACTCATTAGATCGATAAATACAAATACAAGTGGACGTGGCCGGGTAGTTGTACATCCAAACAACAAAAAGACACTAAGTACAGATCTGAGAGTACTCACATTTACTGACAGCTAGTTCAAAGCCACTAACAACTGATAAAAAAATCTTGCATCTAAGACTAAATTATCAATCCGTAAGCTCCCTTTAGAATTTTATAAATTTTAGATTTTACATTTCTGAGTTATGGGGTTTTATTCATTAAAAAAGGGGGGATTTTCCAGTTTTTGGACAACAACTCAAAAAATGCTTTAAGCAGTTCGCATGAAACTTTGGTGAATTATTTATAGCTATTGATGTAATCTCCCTATTGATTTTCCTAAATTTCAAATATGACATTGAGAAGAAATTGAACTTTATTTGTTTATAGTCTGGCAACAGATTTATTAAGTATTGCGCAACAGCACAGTATTGCACAACAGCAAGAAATCTTGAATTGAATATAAATTCAATTCATATAACCAATTTCAAGTTCTTTGACTACATTAATTCAGAAACTATAATATGTCAAATATTT